TACTTATTTTGACCGTTACGAGTATATTATTTATTTTGTAAAAATATCCCTATTACGCCGTAATTTAAAATTTCAGTTTACAGTTAGATTATTATCATAAATAATCTAACAGTAATACATAAAATAAAAATCAAATCACTACTTGGGATAAACGTTATGGCCGTATCTGGGCAGGAAAATAATTAAACAGACACAAAATATTAAACACTTACTGTTTGGAGAGACTGAGCAAAGCTTACAACTGAAAACTGTTCAAAATGCATGAAGAAAACAAACTTTTTCTCTAGAAAATACTAAAAAGAATATTTGGTCGGCCATCTTTCAATTATGAACAGATAACAGGATGTCAAAACAAGGGTGACATTAATGACATTTGTAGATGGACCAATAGATATCAATATTGAAAATAGTGGCCATTTTGGATACCGGAGGCGACTTTTTGAATGAAATGTAGTATATTATAAAAGGAATGCGGAAATGCAACTTTACTACAACCACCTGTTCTGTACTACAACTACCTATTATATATATTATAATTCAATTAAGGTATCGTAGGTTTCAGATGCGCTTGTAATTGAGGTGTCGTTGGATTTAGAGGCGCATTAGGCATCAACTTATATTGGTTTCATCCCTAAGCACCTTCTATTTTAGATGTTTTAGAGGTAGTTTCTGATTTTTGATGTTTTTGGGAATAAAGCGTTTTTTTGCTCCAATTTCAGGCAACCAGTAAAACTGATCGAAGAAAATTTTAAATAGATTTTTGGATTAAAATATAGATACTTTATTATTTTTGCTCTGATATATAATTAAATTATTTTGAAATATATACTTTTCAACCAACTTTAAACTTTTTCAAAGGTTAAATTAACGCTTAGTTAAATATCAAATAATTATACTTTTCCTGCAAGTACATTGAAAAAAAATTACTCCTAAACAAATTAAAAACTTGAATAAAAAAATTAAATCATTCATTATTTATTCACTCCTCAAGAAAAATTAGGGACTCATTTTGCGAGTGCAGAAATGTTATTGTTGTAGTTATTATATTACTAATAAGTTTCAGTTCTTACAAGCTAGTAATTTTCATGTATAATATATCTTGTAATTAAATACTGCGTGGCAGTTGTTCAATGCATTTATATCTTATCTGTTTTTTTTTCTTGTGTTAAAGATCAGCGTTTGAAAACAATACCGAGCTTTTCTCTTTTTATTATGAAATAACAATCGTACCTAATTATACTTATAATGCACACACAGTAGATATACCGGAAAAAAATAATAAACGTAATCTCCTACAGTATCTTTAATATCCTAATTTATTTTTAAAGTCGCTTCAGAGTCTTTGTATATTTTACCGTCTGCTGAAAAGTCAGTGCCATTTCGAAATTTGAAAATATTCCAGATAGAGTCACATTTCTTTGAGGGATTTTAACAAAAATTCCTTTGAACGTTCAGAATATTTCTTGCGACTCTCTAATTCAATATCGAAAAGAATTTTACAAGTATTAGTTAATGTCAAACAGCCTTGCTCATATTACCATTACTTTAAGTAGTTAGAATGTTTTTCCCTTTTGAATTATTATTAATGATTGTGAGCATGCATGCTTTCCACATAAATAACTCAATTCTAATTTGTTAAGCTGCTTTTACATGAAAATAAACAAACAGATTTGTCGTGGGTGTTAATATTTTTGTAACAAAAAAAATAACTCGATTTGTGTAATGTTCAATTTACAAACACAAGCCCACAGTGCGGTGGATTTAGTTTGGCTGCCAAAAAAGGCAAAACCAAGGCTAGAACATTCCATATTCGCCCAATGATAACTGAATTTAATGTTATTGTTTACTTTTTTACAATTTTAGTTCATTTTAATAGTAAATTTAAATATGTTTTCTGCCTAGAGGCTACAATAAATAATTACACTTTACATAATGGATATTTTCCGCTGTACACACACCAATACATTTGTTATAGCCAGGAAGCATTTATTTTAATATTTCATATAAAATTCAGAATATTTTTGTATAAGTAAATACTGGCAATATAAATTTTAATCTATTTATAAAAATAAACAATGGAAAATACACATTGCATATTAATTTTCTACAACTTTTTTTGTGATGGAGGTAACTTAAAGATTTGCACATTGTTCACCTACATAAATTAATATAAATATCTGGTAAATTTATTTCCCAGTCTTATTTAATGTAGTCCTTTACAAAAGTTAAAATAAAATCCAAGTATTTATTTTTGAACGTTGTCAAAAATCTTTTTCCCCCAGGGAGAACCCACCTTGAAAAATACGGAAGATTACCTATCTTAATGTATAACATCAGACTACCACAAATTAGTATCCGGCATTGTACAATGAAGAAATGAAATAAAAAGAAGAGATAAAAATCAGAGACGCCTTATTTAACTGAAAGACAGACGTCTTGGACAGGACTAAAGTTCATTTTAGAATTTTGAAAGACGTCCTGGCGGCTTATTGAATTTTAAGTTTTATTTTTGTACTGCTCAGTGGCAGGGATGGCTCCATTCTTTAATTCCTCGACATTTTTGAATTTACTACTTAATAAATTTGAACGTCGTTAAAACCACCGCGAGCTTTTTCCTGGTTAAAATACAGTAATATTTATTTAACTGCTTAAATAATATTTTAAATAATTATTACTCCATGGAAAATGACGGACATGCTAGTTCCACCCACCCTGTTGGTTAATTTACAAGTGGCTGAAGATGGCCAGGTCAGCTTTTTACCTCTCTTTGTTCCTTTTCGTAGGTAGAAAACCGAGAAAGTCGATATCCATGAGGTTGTTTATTAGATCTTTAACAGTTTTTGAAACCAAACCTTTTAAAAACTTTTACCTTACATATTCTCGGGTTGATGTTACGATAACCATCTAAATGTTACAATAATTATAAACAGTTTTTGAAGATTATCTCTCTTTTGCTGTAATTAAAAGATTTATTGTCTGGAAGGATTTATTAACAAAAGTTTTAATTTGATCTGCAGGTACTAACTCGAGATTCTTTTTTTTCCCTCTGTACGTCCTTGAAGGTAATGAGCTATCATTGTATAAAAGTCACTTTTGTAATGGCTCGTGATATCATCTTGGCAGAGAATCGATATATACCGCCAAAAGGATCTTATTTTACATACCATAACAATACACAAACCGGCTTGTAAAACTCTCAATTATCCATTATTACCTCTCAGAAATGCTTTTTCTTGTCATAAAAAGTATCTAAATAAATACTGTGAGACTGTCTTATTTCCGGGAATTTTGTCTAAAATTACAAAAAAAAACGATTTTGATAAGAATTATGAAGAATATGCGGAGATTAATTTATACCAAGTCTTTTCAAAAATAGTACGCGAACATTGTATACCTATAGGCTTGGTGTCAAAGACTGAGTACTAGCTGTTTATCTTTGCCCGCCAACAAACAACTATTGTGACAAGATTTCTAATACGCCAAACAATAAATACTATTTCCATATATCTCAGACATTTCATTATGGTCCACCCAAACAAACACACGTTATTGGTTAACATAATCGTTGTACAATTTCTATCTTTCCAAATAAGTAAAATTTCTCTGCTATCATTAAATCCGCCTCTTTTGACAAACTTTCTTCTTATCCCATATATGTCAGAGCACGCAAGGTGTAAATCAAGGAACTAAGAAACTTGATTTTCGAAAAAAACTTCTTATTCAGTGCTAGAAGTTGCTGGTAAAATAGCAGTGCTTAAATACAATGAAATTAATAAATGTTAACAACTTTCATACGGGTCAATTTGCTGTAAAACAAACTTTTTGAAAACCACCCCAAAGGGCTCATGAAACGGCCGCCAAGTCCGGAAATAATAAACTTATAAAAAAAATTCATTATGCGAACTTATAGAGAATGTTCTTATATACAATTTGCGTCTAATTATTTCGTTGTAGTACAGTTTTAAATAAAACATGTTATAGGGCTTGTTTCTTTCTACAATTTCCTGTCTCACAGTGTACCGTTTGTGTCGGGGAAGGGATCATAGTTTCATAAACTTCGACCGGACTGAAATAACTAGCCAGAAATAAACTTGTAGAAAAAATAAAAGATAATAACAATACTTATAATGCCATCTCGGTGCGAGGACTTAAACTTGAATTGTTTAAATAAAATAATTCTGTACATTTATTTAATTTGTGTAAATTTTAAATAAAATGCTACAAAATGTTGTATCCTATGTTATAGGGCTTGTTTCTCTCTACAATTTCCTGATTCACAATGTACCGTTTGTGTCCTGGAAGGGTTCATAGTTTCATAGTTGTCGATTTTCGAAAGAAATCAGTACATGAAATTATTTCGTATATTTTTTATTTTATTGATTTTATGGAAAGCATTGGTCATTAAAATGTTGTATCCTATGTTATAGGGCTTGTTTCTCTCTACAATTTCCTGATTCACAATGTACCGTTTGTGTCCTGGAAGGGTTCATAGTTTCATAGTTGTCGATTTTCGAAAGAAATCAGTACATGTAATTATTTCGTATATTTTTTATTTTATTGATTTTATGTAAAGCACTATTCATTAAAAACCATCCCTATTGCTCAAAAACCCCAAGGGGAAAATTTCCGATTTTGTTTATTTTACACTCAGAAGACTAATCTAATTTTTGTTTCAAATGACAATTTTATTGGATTAAATAGAATGTTATAAAATATATTTATTAAGTGTCTTCTTTAAATATAAGTGTAAATATGTTATGCTCCATTTATCTCTGGAGTGTCTTGCTACATGAAAATTATTTCTGTTTACTGATAAGAACAGAAAAATTACTAATCTTAAGTCCACGTACTTTAGATACCGTCAAAACCTTCTTTTTTATCAGTTACACAGGTAGATCAATCAAACATCATATAAGTACTTCGTTTTGTAAACAAATAATAGATTTTACTATCGATGTTTTTATAGTTTTATATAAAAATTTCCTATTTCTTGTCTACAGAAAGAAAACAAATAACAAATGATAGTAATTTTCGAGTGAATGCCTTCAACGGAGGTGTTGACATTCTACCAGCTATCTCTTTCATTATTCAAAGGAGATGACATTTTTATCTCTAGCCGTTTCTTGTTCAATCTCACATAAGGGCAACAAACTTCATACTTGAGAAGATATAAGTACGAAAGAGAGGAGTAATACTAGGAGGTGAATAATAAATTTAATGCAGTTATAACTCGCTAAATATGAAAATAAAAGCAAAGAGCTATTTTATTCCATAGTATAGTCGCATAAATCTATCAACTCTGATTTAAAAATAAATTAATTTTAATCCAGTGAAATTATGACCTGCCAAGGCCACTTTTTGATATATAACTAACAGAAATATGTGTCAAAAGACGCATATTAAATAATACTCATTAAATTCAAATTAGTGTTTATTTAACTCAGCTGCTGCTTGATGAAAATTCATTAAAAAATTATAAATTCATGATAGACACTAAAAAATAATTAGTACACTTCAATCAAAGGCGTAACAACTGGGTAGGGTTGAGGAAAATAATAACCCAAATATTGATTGATAATTTTTATTATTAAAACATATTATTAAGCAGTTGTTTAAAGAAATGACGACAGTTTTATTTATACTAACATCAATTTAAACATTGTAATTTTCAAACAATGTCTAAAACTCCAAATATCTGTCTTATTAATTACCTTCGTTATTTTTTGTTTTCAGAAAATGCTATAATGGTAATCATGCAGCTAGAAATTCTTATTTCCATTTTTTTAACATCAATAAGTTCCGCTGTCATCACGAATCATGATTTCAGATTCATATCATACAAAGGTAAGAGGTTTTTTTATAAAATATATTTTTTTTCAATAATCTTGAAACTACTCTAGTAGATAGGACTGTTGTGATATATAAAAATCTGAAATAAAGTAATAATAATGTACGGTTTTCTGTATTAAGTTTCGAGGTTTTTTTAAAAGGCATATATCAAAAATAATCTTAATCAAACAACTCTTTACTGGTCTACTACTACTACGTATGTACAAAATCGCTGTCGAGTGCTATCAAAATAAAATACATATAATTTCGTATAATCCCTGATATGAAATAATGAGGACGCTAGAACATTTTAATAGGTACAACATTAATAATAAAATATTACATGACAACACATGTAAAGCAAATATTTAAAGCTAGCGTAAAATAAAATATAAATAAGCCTATCTTTCTGGATTTAGTGTCTTCGAGTTAACGCCTCATAAAGATTACGAATCCTTTTGTATAAAGAGCTTAACCACAGAATATCTAGCTACGAATAATCTAGCTAGATATTCTGTGGCTTAACTTTAGGAAACATCGACCACAAGATAAAACTGTTGTATTTCAAACTTGACTAACTGCATATATTTATCGCATTTTAGCTTAAGATCAATATTATACATACACCATGCCAAAAAGTAGCTTTTTGGATTATGAACTTTGAAATTTGTCAAAAGTAATCATTTGCAGTCATTGTAGAATTTCATTAAACATTGTTTTCAGATTTAAATCCTTCAGTGCACTGGTTTCCGCTAGATGGAGTAACTGCACACTCACAAATGCTGTTTGATGTTTCAAGAAATCAAATTTTTATTGGGGCGAGGTAAAAAATACATTATTATACTAACTTAAAGCATTCTTATATGTACACAAAGGTAATCAATACCTTTGTTAGGGCTATGAAACTATTTTTCGATTAATCAATGAGCTATGTTTTGAATAAACATGCCGCAAAATTAATGTTGCGTATGTTCGCTATACCCGATTGTCTATTGGCTGTCAAATAATTTCCACAAATAGCCAGGCACATTCCTTTTTGTTCGGTTGTATGTTGCATTATAGCCACAACGCAATAGCAAATTATTTCACTACCGCCAAACCTCTGTTTGCAGCATTTTTACTTCTCAGGAAGCCCATAATATATTGATCACGTAGCGCACAAGCAGAAAAATTAAATTTGCTGCATTGTTATTCAAAAATCACGTACTTAGGAGTACAATGATTAACGAAACAACATTCCCAAAAGTATCATAGTAACTGGAGAGAAGATAAAAGCCCAGTTTCAATGATGTAAATAATTAGAAAGTGTTTTTTATATTTAAAAATCGGATTCATCCCATACTTTTGAAGGTAGATTATAAAGCGAGCCAAGCCAGGTCTGAAAGGTTTTGTTTAAATAATAATTATCCAAGAAACCCCTGTCAATCAAAATAACAGTGATTAAGATTGTTGGAAGCCGGCGTGTGTTATTAAATGTTACGCTGCTGGTTGTTGAATTAAGTTTTTGACTTTTCAGGGATGCGTTGTACAAACTGCATTTATCTAAATTGGAATTGCTGGAGGTGGCGCATTGGGAGGCAACGCAGGACAAGATTACCGCTTGTATATCGAAAGGACAGGACGAAGAAAACTGTCATAATTTCATTAAGATTCTCTTGACAAATGGAAACCAGATTTTTGCCTGTGGAACGAACGCTTTCTCTCCTTTGTGCTCTTTGAGGAATGTGAGTCATTTTAATAATTTATCATCTATGTTAAGCAAATTTGTAGCTGATAAAAATTTAACATTCTTATATAATGTGTTCTTTTTTTATAAATTGGATTAGGATCGAAAGAAATCAACAGAAGTCCTTTGTTTTAAATTTGTCGACGTTTCGCAAAATTTATTTGCATCTTCAGGACACTACAAAGTTAAGAGAGCAAAAAATACAATCAAATAAAAGTTTTTTCAAAAATTTTAACAAACAACTTAAAATACATATCAGTGGAATTCCACACATATACAATTGGTAAAACTACCCTAATGTTAACAATTAAATAAAATATATGTATATGTTACTCACATTTAAATCTGGACTTTCTTAGTCATATCCATTAATACACGGATGGTATAGAGGGGAGTGGTATATATCCCTTTTTTCCTTTTAAAACACATAACACACTTACATAAAAAAAAACATATAACACAATTATGTATAGAGAAATATCACGAAAATCTTTTCCTTTCACAGACAAGCAGTGCAGATGTACCTACGTTGACCGTATACAGAGAGCAACTAATTCTAGTTGATAAAATACTAATATAATTTTTACCTGGAGATAAAGAACAGTTGAAAAAAGAAACATATAAAAATATTATTTGGATTTAAACCATTATTTTGAAGTTATATTATTTAATTTTTGAAAGAATATTAAAATATGCTGTACTCAGGTTTTCTACGTCTGTTCTTTTATTAACGCAATTTTTGTTTTTTTGGATTTCTATCATCTCTGCAAATAATCTTTTCTTATAATTAGATTGTGTTTGTAAAATAGTGGTATTGTCAAAATCGAAGTTATGGCCTGTCTCTATTTTGTGTTCTACTAATGCGGTAGGATTAGATTTCAAAAGAAAGTTCCTTCACTATCAAGAGCTACATCACTATCATCAATTAATTTTCATAATAAAAATTTAAAATATATCGAAAGCAAGTTGATTAAAAATAATTATCCAATATCTATGATTAAAAAAATTCTTAACAAGAAAACCGTTGTAAAATCTACTAACCAAAATGATAGAGAAGTTTATTGTAAAATACCTTATATCGACTGTCTGTCAGAACAAATTAAAAACACATTTAAGGGTCATACTACAAAAAAACAGGAAAAAATAAAAATTACAACAAGGAGTCATAACACCATAAAGAGACGGTTCTTTTCAAAAACAAAATCAAAGAATAAAAAAAGAACTGAAATCAGGCATAATATATAACATTCCTTGTACTCAATGTCCTAAAAGCTATGTTGGGCAGACCGGTAGATATTTAAAACAAAGATTGAATGAACATAAAAATGATCAAAGGAACTTTCTTTTGAAATCTAATCCTACCGCATTAGTAGAACACAAAATAGAGACAGGCCATAACTTCGATTTTGACAATACCACTATTTTACAAACACAATCTAATTATAAGAAAAGATTATTTGCAGAGATGATAGAAATCCAAAAAAACAAAAATTGCGTTAATAAAAGAACAGACGTAGAAAACCTGAGTACAGCATATTTTAATATTCTTTCAAAAATTAAATAATATAACTTCAAAATAATGGTTTAAATCCAAATAATATTTTTATATGTTTCTTTTTTCAACTGTTCTTTATCTCCAGGTAAAAATTATATTAGTATTTTATCAACTAGAATTAGTTGCTCTCTGTATACGGTCAACGTAGGTACATCTGCACTGCTTGTCTGTGAAAGGAAAAGATTTTCGTGATATTTCTCTATACATAATTGTGTTATATGTTTTTTTTTATGTAAGTGTGTTATGTGTTTTAAAAGGAAAAAAGGGATATATACCACTCCCCTCTATACCATCCGTGTATTAATGGATATGACTAAGAAAGTCCAGATTTAAATGTGAGTAACATATACATATATTTTATTTAATTGTTAACATTAGGGTAGTTTTACCAATTGTATATGTGTGGAATTCCACTGATATGTATTTTAGTTGTTTGTTAAAATTTTTGAAAAACTTTTATTTGATTGTATTTTTTGCTCTCTTAACTTTGTAGTGTCCTGAAGATGCAAATAAATTTTGCGAAACGTCGACAAATTTAAAACAAATGACTTCTGTTGATTTCTTTCGATCCTAATCCAATTTATAAAAAAAGAACACATTATATATTATTGGATCGACAACAATAAAAATTATTCTTATATAATGTTCTTATTCTTATATAATGTGCTAATTGGTCAAAAAGGTCTCTATCTTCGTATTCAAGACTTTTTATTAAGTTATAATAACAATAGAATAGTCAATTTTCATGACTTTGTAGAATAGAATGTCGATAAGTTGGTTCTTTTTTGTACATTTTCAAAGATATTAAAAAAATAGTTAATAACTTAGTTACAAAATTACAAAATCTTCAGCATTTGTAGGAATTTTTATGTAGATTCCTAGTGTTAATAATTGCCATACACCTTTAAAGGCTTTTATTAGATATCTTGGTTTTGTGGAAACTTGTTTTTTGGTCCTTATTTTGAGCTATTTGGTTAAAACATCTTCTGCATCCATTACTGTTTTCGTAAACCTACAATGGCCTATATTTTATTATTCTACGCCTTTTTATTTGGTTTGGTTTTAACAACTTATTTTCTGCAGGCCTTATTTTCTGCAGGTACCGTAAAATGGGGTGAATAGAAACAGTTTCGTAGGCTATTAGCGATATACCGGTTGATAAAAATGTGGTATTATTTCCCCGAATATTTTAAAACATGGGTCTTTGTTTGTTCTTTGCGTATACATATAATTTGATTTTTGAAAAATATGCATATAAATATTAAATAAAAATAACATTTGTGTTTCTATTCACCTGCTATTCGGGAGAATAGAAACACACATTGATGTTAAGGTTTTTATCTATTCTATTTCCAACAACGTGATTAGAAACAGTAAATTATTACATATTTAAGTAGGTTTAACAATAATTAACAATACATATAATATAACAACTTGCATGTACCAGCTTATGTATTACTTTAAAAATAAATATTTTATTTATAAAGTTTTCGCGCCATACAAAATAGGTGATAAATCGATCTCACATTTATTGATCAGCTGATTGACAGAAACAGTGCTGCCACAGATAAAAATATAGTTTTTACATTTTATTGTGCATTACCAATGATAGAAAAATTAGATATGTCGACTCTTTTTACTTTGAATATTTTTAATCGCGATTTGATTTTTTTCAGAAATTTTGTTTCTATTCACCACTATGTTTCTATTCCCCCTATTTTACGGTACTATTTTCAAAGGCTTTAGAAAGATAGTAACCATACTCATAAAATTATCAAAATTTTAGCATTTGCAGGAAATTGTAGATTCAGAATGGTATACACCTTTAAAAGTTTATATATCTTGGTTTTGTGGGAAAATTATTTTTTTGGGCCCTTTATTTTGAGCGATTTTTGGTAATGGATCTGTATGGATCTATATTTTCGTATTTTACGAGTGCTAATTAGTAGTAATTAGTATACGGGGTGCGTCTCGAAAGTGGCGCACCCCTACAATTTTTTTATTTTTTCAGATAAAAAAACGAGATTTGATACGTTAATATACATATGTATGTGACTTAAATTAGTATTGATTTCCGTATTTAATTGTTTTTGATCACTTCCTGTTTCACCGGAAATGACTGCAACTTTTGATTTTTAAATAAACCAACTGAATACGTGAATCAATCCTAATTTATGTCATATACTAACAAACCAAATCTCTCTTTTTTATTTGAAAAAATAAAAAATATAGAGTGAGCCACTTTTGAAACGCACCCGGTATATAAGTAGTTCCATTAAAATTGATGACTTATGGCAAAATCGTAAATTTTTATCGAAGAAAAATGTCTAATATTAATTAAGGTGTATAACTAACAGTGATTTCGTCTATTTCAGATCGATAACATATCGAACGTGACGCTTGTCGTGAACGGTATTGCAAAATGCCCCCACAATCCAGCGGCTAAAGTTACCGGCTTCATATCCGACAACTCTGAATATTTTTTCGGCGGAACAACAGATTTTTCCGATTCCGACTATCTCATCTCTAAAAACGTAATCAACGGTCGCACTTTGAGAACAAAACAATACAACAGCTTCTGGTTAAACGATCCCCAGTTTGTCGGATCGTTCGAAACATCGAAATTTGCATACTTCTTGTTCAGAGAGACGGCGGTCGAGTACATAAATTGTGGCAAAGTCGTTTACTCAAGGATAGGCCGCGTTTGCAAAAACGACCAAGGCGGCCACACCATGCTCAAAGAAAACTGGACAACCTTTGTAAAAGCCCGCTTGAACTGTTCGATTAAAGGAGACTACCCATTCTATTACAACGAAATACAAAGCATTCACTACGTCGCCGAAGAGAATATTGTCTACGCCACTTTTACTACCCCCAGAAACAGCATCGCCGGCAGTGCGATTTGTGCTTTCGACATGTCAGCCATCGACGAGGCCTTCAACGGCCCTTTCAAGTACCAGCACGACATGGACAGTGCTTGGAAACCTCACAACGTTCCTCACAGAGAACATTTAGAATGTAAAATTTCGAAATACAACAATCTCCTCGAAACCTCCAAATACCAGCTAATGGACAACGCTGTTCAGGCAACCACCCCAAGCCCACTCTATACGTCAAACTTAGAAAGATTCACACATATAACCGTGGATATCGTGTCCATCAAACACCACAGGATTCCTGTATTGTATGTAGCAACAGAAGAAGCGCTGGTGAAGAAACTAACCATTCAGCACAAGCAGGAAGCTTGTTTGGTCGAAATTTGGCAAGTTGCTTCGGAGTATCAACCTGTAATTCAAAACATGCAATTTCTGAAAGGGACTAGCTCAGTATACGCTACTACGGATAGCGGGTTGATCAAAATAAACGCAGCTCACTGCTCAAGGCATTCCTCAAAAGAAAGCTGTTTAAATGCCATGGATCCTTATTGTGGCTGGAACGAATTAGAAGATAGATGTACCACGTCTCCTGGAACTGATCGTCATATATACTGGAAACAACTCATTAATTCATGCCCTATTTTAAATACACCAATTAACGGAGGTGAGTTATTAGCTATCTGCTTTATAGAAAGAATCCTCAATATTTTTTTTTTCAAATCACAGGCTGGAGTAGTTGGTCAGAATGGCATCCGTGCAACTACAAGACCTCAGCTGCAACGGACAGTGATCAGTGTCTTTGCCAGACGCGTCAATGTAATAATCCTGCACCGGCTAATATGGGATTACCATGTGAAGGAGTAGCTATATCTGTGACGAATTGTACAGTCCATGGAGGCTGGACAGAATGGTCACCATGGTCAGCTTGTTCCAGTTCCTGCGGAATAGCAGTCAAAACTAGATTCAGAACGTGTACGAATCCTGAACCTGCTTTTGGAGGAAGGTATGTAATAAAATTAATTATACGAACGAATAATAAGTCAAATATATTAAGAAATACACATAAACCGTTGTGTCAAAGTAAACTGTCTGGTTAAGTTAAAACAGTTCTTACATCAGAAGATAATTTTTATTTATGTTTACTTGCCCTGAAAAAATATTTACAAAATATTGTCTCAGATAAAATTGAATATTACCAAGCCTCGCATTACTATTTGGGTGAAAAAAAATCTCAGAAGGTTTTAGCTATTTAATTCAGCTTCAATAAAAAGAAATTAACGTAAAAAATGAGAAAGGAAATGGTTCTTTAATAATTCTAAGACGGATCGGCTAGCATCAAGGTCAATTTAGACCATAAAATCTTAAATTATCAACACATTTTTTGTACTGAGCTTACTTACAAATGGATATCAATATACACCAGCAAATTGCCATCATTATTTGCAATTATTTTCTTACCCTGAACCAGTCACTTCTGAAATTATTGTGATTCCTAAACCTTCGGGCTTATAATACATATGTATCTAAACATAAATACTCTTTATTGGCACTCCTTTGCGCACTGAACATATTTATTTAAAAAAAATAACGGTTATCTATTTAATTTTCCAGAGTCTGCGTTGGACAGGATATAATGGAAGCCTCCTGCGACCTTCCTTCGTGTCCAACACCTAAAATAGACGGCGGTTGGTCAGCTTGGTCCAGTTGGTCACCGTGTTCAGCAAGTTGCGATGAAGGCTTCAAGTCGCGATATCGCAGATGTGATCATCCGGTACCCCAAAACGAGGGCCACTATTGTAAAGGAAACGATGTTGAATACAGCATTTGCAACAGACAGCCATGCGAGGATCAGAGGAAACAGCTGCATTCAGAGTGGATTACCGATTACAATATATCCAGAAAAGGATACCACCAGAAAAGGTTTAGATTTATATGTAAGGCACCGGTGAAGCACTCAAACCATATTAAAATTATTGTAAAAGAAGAAAACCAAGTGTGCCTTTCTAATAAATGCGATAAGGAAGATGAATACACTGGATGGAGCTCATGGTCCTTTTGGAGCGAATGTTCCGCCAGTTGCGGAGGTGGGACACAATTCCGCACAAGACAATGTCTTAAAGATAATTGCCTAGGTAATTCATAAAAAAATTAAATATTTATATAAATAAGTTACTATAAATTAATCTACATTTATAAATTAGTATCATTAAACTAAAATAAGATTCAGCACTTATAAGATTCTCTCTTCACAAAGAAAAATATTCTTTCATTATATTTCAGGTGTACCGACTCAAACAAGAGATTGTAATAAGCACGATTGCATCGATAATTGGGGATGTTGGACAGAATGGTCACCATGTAACGTATCCTGCGGATGGGGTATCAAAACAAGATACAGAAATTGTTTAGGACACAGGTGTAAGGGAGCAGACAGACAAGAAGAATCCTGCCAAGATCAGCCTTGTGAAAGTATGTGATAAAACTAGCATAATCGGATTCCCAATAAACTTTATAATTTTTTTTAGATATTCTAGGATGGGGAAATTGGACTGAATGGTCCGAATGTGACCAGGAAAACTTACAATACCGGAAAAGGACTTGCTTCACCGAGAATCCCGATCCCTATATGTGCCAAGGCAGTTCGGTTCAGACAAGAATGTGTGTAGGCAACCAGTTAAAAGACGGTATGCCTCCAAATTTTATTTATTCAGAATTTGCGGTGAGGGGTTTTTGTTTATAAACTTTCAGTGCGTAGGACTGCATAGCTGCATATTTTAATATTATAATTTTAAACAACATAGTTCAGTTAAAAAGTAGTTTAAATATACTTTTTTCTCTTTTAGATTGTTCCTGTTTATCTGTAGGATTAAATATGTTTTTCGTGGGAATTATAATAGGACTTACCCCTGGAGTACTTTGGCTGGGCAACCAGATTAGGATTAAAAAGAGGAAAAATTATGTACCTAGCTCGCCACATTATATAACAACAGCCAATGCCAACCCTTATGTTGCCATAAAAAGGAAATCCCAACTCAATAGGCAAAACAGCCATAGTGGAAGTAGTACTCTAAAATCAAAACTTGATCTTATGGGTACCTTAAAGAGAAATAGTAATGATATTAAAAATGGAAATATTAAGGCTTATCATGACAGTGATAACCACTTGTTTGAATGAATAAGGGAGAAATCTATGTTGTATTTGGCTTATACACTACAGATACCCCAAAAAACGCGAGACAGGCTCTTTGGATGGAATCCTTTAAGAGATACGAGCAATGTAGTTGCTCATAGACCATCAACAAATATTTATAGAATAAAATTGAATTACTTATGCTTGTTAAATGTTATAGGTACTTTTCTATATTAAAATACATAAGACCCTGCATGAAGCAGCATAATAACATAAAAGCCACATAAAAATAGTAAAAGCATTTTCCTATTAGGAAAAAAACAGGAATGATAACAAAACATCAACAGAATATATGCAACTTGTTATCCTAAATTACATTAGAACCATATATAATATGTGATAATATTTTTGTTGATACTTTTTATATTTTTTATATATTATTCTTTAAAACCAAATTTCTATATGCCATTATTTTGTAAATAAGAATTAAATATGTGATATTAAAATTACATTTTATAGATAGATTTAAAAAAAAATCATTTGATGAGGATATAAACATAAATTTTACAGGTATTTATTTTGGTTTCTGTTCATTGACTGAAATACGACAAAATCCATTTTTTTAATAAATTATTCTCACAAATTAGTACATCGTATAAAATTAATATTAGAGAAGCATTAATACTTGCATGTAAGCCCTTTAATTATAGTGAGTTAAATTTACTGTTATTCTCATATATATTTTTGTCAGAGTACCTGCTTTAATAAAATTAACTATAGGACTAATTCATCAGACTGCCATACTAGAGTAAAAAGAAATATGTACATATTTAACTTATAAGAAAATTGTATAGTTATATTATTTATAAATCAATAGTCCCATCATATATTAATTATTGTTTTGTTATATTTTTCATAATTTTATCTCTTTCATAAATAGAAGAGCAAAATTGAACTAAGTGACTAATGATTTATAAATAGTTTTATTTTCCTCATATTGAGGAGAGCATATTTTACTAAATAAAATTTTATATTAAATGAGTTGGTATATCTACAATTCCCATAATAATCAAACACATCCTTTCTTAGAGTAATTTATTTATATGGCAAGCTAATATAATTTTTTTAACGTAAACTAACTGCACCAATTAATAAATATATAAAAATTATGTTACAAGTCATAGAAACATATAATAATACAATCACAGGCAATAGAAAAGTGCTTCTATGGTATAGAGAGTGTTAGGTTCATGAAGAGTTTTATGAAATGATAAATATGCACTTTAAAATCTCTGAATACAACATTTTCAAATATAATATAGAAGTGAGTTATCTTTAATCACATCGATAAAGCAAAATCATAAATAATCAGTTACAATACTACTACAGATCAGTATATCCTTAGAGTAAAACTTATTCCTTCACTTCTTTTTAATTTTTGGTGAAGTAGATTGAAAGACACTAGAGGCAGACATTAAATTCTCTATATATTGCCCTAATACTTGATTTTCTGAACGCAACTTTAGGTTTTCTTCTTTAACACTGTCAACCCTTTGTGATAAATCATCCAAAGTATTTTGTAGTTCCAAAACTTGCGAAATGAGTCTGGCTTTTTCCTCTTGTTCATCAGGACTGGTGTCGGGCTCCAAAGAATTGTGCTGAGGGCTAGAGCTTCCATTAGTAAAGGTTGATTGTATGGAGTCCATACTTCTACCATGGATCATGCTTGAAGAATTTGCATCAGATGTAGAATTAAGTTCTAGATCATCATTGATAATGACTAAAAATATGACCATATTTTTCAAAAAAACATTAGCTATAAGCTTAAGTTATACCTTGGGGATCATCGTCAGCTAATGGTATATCATCTTGCACTTTAGAAACAGACATGTTGGATATTAGAACGCTATACTAATTGTTAAATTCTGATTTAATTGAATCAACAAACCACGAGTACAATAAATTATAAATCAAGTTATAAATTATCAACATTAAAAGGCAAAATAAGCTGACACAACCACTGACGGCTGACGGCACTCACACCACAACTGACACTGACAGACAAATATGACAGTAATTCTCTTTAGTATAGGCAACTTTTAATTCATTTCACCATAGATGTACATAATTATCGACAAAGTGACAGAAAACCTGACATTAGAGAGTGACACTTTATTTCTTTATATAATCATGGCTGCAAGTTTTAAGTGTAGAAGGTAAACAAAGAAATAATCTACATGTTTATCAAAGTTTTATTCGTATGAAATAATTTAATAGTATCCAGATTTCATAGAAAAATACATCTTTATCAATAACATAACGTAAGTTCAAAAGGTATAATGGAAACGTAATATAGCTCTAAAATAACATTAGAGTTTTTTTGCATACAACCTTGTTTTTAATTTTTCAGCACATGGAAGGTTTTGATGCAATTTATTATGAAGAAGAAATTGAAAATAATGAAGAAACTGAACCTGCAGATGTGTCTTTGGTTCCTGATCCAGTAATTATAAGAGGAGCTGGAAATATGACAGTGTAAATAAATAATAGTACTATTAAAATGTGCACGTTATAAGTTATAACTGATACAAAATTACTTTGTATTCTTTCAGATTTGGATTAAGTAATCGGTTTAGTACAGAATTTCCTAGTGGTTTGGTATCAAGGGTGGCTCCAGAAGAATTTAAAGAAACAGTAATGAGGATAAATGGGATTTTAAAAAAGACTTTACCAGTAAATGTAAAATGGTTATTTTGTGGATGTTTATGCTGCTGCTGTACTCTGGGTTGCTCCCTTTGGCCAGTTATATGTCTTAGTAAAAGAGTAAGTATTGCAATTGTATCCTTGATAAATCTACTTAACAAAAATATTTGTTTTAGACTCAACATTCCTTAAATAAACTGTTAGAATGGGAAAATAGTTATTTATATAATAAACTTGGTTTACATTGGAGATTAAGTAAGCAACAGTGTGATTCGTCTTCTATGATGGAGTATGTAATTTTAATTGAATTTTTGCCTAAAGTTCCAATTTACCGACCCGATTAGCAGAGATATAGTGTCAATTAACCGAATCTCGTTGATTTTGTAAATATGATGCATGTGATAATAGACATACTGTATTTTTCATAATCTTCATGTTTCCATTAATGTAACATTCTATTTTGTTAGTACTGCACATGTTATATAGCATTTAGTTATTGTTAAAACTGCGTAACTCAAGTTTTACTTCGAACCTTTCTACTAGTTTATTAAAAAATACTTTTGAGTCTGCCCATCAGAACTGATGCATATCATAAAGGTAATAATTTTTTCATATTGTTTAATCTAAATTCTGTAGTAATTCTAAAGCTTGATTTAAACTAAATTCAAGATATAAGTAAAACATAATTTTAAATCTTCCTCTTCTAGTTTATAGCAACTAAATTTATTTAAGGATGAGTTGATGTTGACTTGCTGCATATGTAACATAAGTATTAAGTTTTGTCAGATGCGGTTATATTTAGTACTTACTAAAAGGAATTAATTACGTATATAAAGATATGCAATTAATATACTAATTTAAACTATGGCGCAACAAAGCAAGTTTATGGTTCCTGTTAAGAATGTTCTTTTATTTAACTGCTAACTCCTTGTGATGTCCAAAAAGTTAAGACTTTAAAATAATTAAGTTCATTTGGAAATTGTTATTAGAATTTGCATTATTGTAAATAAAATAGAATAAAAGTTGTTTTATAAACTTTTTACATTACATATTTAATTAGATATATTTAAGGTCAATATAGGGTAATCAAGTATCCTGTATGTTTTTACTTACTTCTAGGTATTTTCTGTTAGCCAAGTATATAGTATCTTGAAATACTCTTATTAAATTTGTAGAAATCATACTATTTCCATCTAGCTAGTTTTTAAATACATAATTTTATTATCCAACAAAAAATAAATAATTAGTACAAAATTGTTTCATAGTTATTTTATTATTCATAAAAATAAAACATGAGTAACATTAGATTAGCCTATATAAAATATAACAAATTATGCCTTAAGTAGAGGCACTCAGTATCACATTTTGTGTTATAAATATACATCACACATTGAATAATACTCCTAATTGTGTTACACTGATGCAAAGGTTATTGTCATAGATTCAATTATAACTTTGTAGGTACTCTGTTAACAAAATTACTTGGAAATTGTCCAAATTTTCCATTAAGTTCGCCATATAGCCATTCTTCCGAAATTTTTTTGGTAACCTTTATTTTCTGACCTTCCTTAAAAGATAAATCTTCAGGCACTTGCCCTGAAAAGTCATAGAGTGCAGTTACTGTGTTTTCTTCACCTTTCAGAGGTACTTTTACATCCACAAATTGTTCAGGAAAAATCCCTTCTTTATCAAGAACTCTTCCATGGATCCAATCATCATTTATTCTTCCTAGGAAAATAACCACATCGCCCACCTACAATAAAAATAATAAACATAAATCCCGATACATTGAAAAATAAGCAAAAAATCTATGTTGCATTATATATCATGAAAATATTTACATACTTGTAAGCCAAGGTCGCTTGTGTGACTTGCTGGATAATCATATAAGGCTATTCCATAGGGAGTTTCAATTTCAGTTTCAACTTTAGGTGGACTGGGAGGTGGAATACTAGGCATGGGAGGCGATCCAGATGTAGAACAGTCTTCAGTTTTCGTTTTTTTAATGTGTGGACGTATAATAGTTGGAACCGTTGTTGAACCAAAAAACAAAGGCACATTTAAACTTGAAGAGTATCCAGACTTTGTACTAGAATTGTTAGTTATTGGAGTGATGTAACTTTGAAAACTTCCTCCGTTATTTTGGGGCACTGAATTGCTACTTGCTTGTATGGGCCACACATTATTTGATATGGGAAGTTCAAATTCGAATGATTTTTTACTAGAAGCTAAACTGCTAGTACTACTACTAAATGAGCTTGAGACACTGCCGCCAAATTGTCGAACTCTTTCTATCTTCGGTGAATTCGGTGGACTCCATTCAATAAGGTTCACATTTTGGTTTGGTTGATTTAAATTTAATGTCGACTTACTTTTGTATTTCCCAAAGTTAGGGGGTGGTGGTCTAGGCGGTGGTTTTTTCTTTACAGTTACTGTGGATTTCGGTTTATGCGATGTAAAAGGCATAATATTAATTTGTTTAAACCAGCTAACTTTAAAATTTTGTACAACAAAAAGTAATAATATAATTTTGACGTTTACATGACATCACATTTTGAAAATACCTAATGCCATAGAAAAAAAGAAACCATCATCACTATCCATATAATAATATTTCTAATTGTATTTCTGGTTATATATCCAGTCGAAATAAAAATATGGCACCTAGTTACCTCTTATCTATGATCCAGTCAAATTACCACAGATCAGCATCAACTAGCTAACCTAGTTTTTTGTTTTTTGTTGTCATGTTTTGTTTTCTATCAACAATCAACAATTATATTTTGTAATGCTGTATAAGTTTAGAGAATCTATTGTTTATAGTTTTTAAAAGCTAGAACGATGAATTTTATTGAAACACTACAAAATTACTTCGACAAGCTCCCACAAACGACTGTAATAACGCACTTATGGAAGGAAATAATAAAAGGAAAGAAATATGAAATTTCTCAAGACCACATTATTGAATATAGTTTTCACTATCCTGTAGACACCGAATTATATTTAGAAGAATTAAATCATAAATTTGACGATTGTACAAAGGACGAATTGAAAACTATTGAAGGCAATTTAAAGGCTTATTTGCAAACATTTATTTATTACTGTATGATTTCAAATGATCGGATATCTATCCGTACAGCACTTTATGCTGCAGAGCTGTATTTGAAGATAATTAATTTACCTCCAGATATTGAGAAGCTGTACTTTGAAAAGAACATTTACATTGTTGTTTTACAAGTTTTAAATAATGTTTCCCAGAAACAGAGTCTATCAGATAGCCATATAATGAGAATTTTGGAATATATTTGTAACTACTCATCTAAAAATGAGATGCCCATTGATTTAGTTCAAGGTACTGCAAATATGTATGGTAATATTATCAGATTTAGGGTTGAATCAGGTGATATGAAGTTTATAGCTTTTATAAGATTTATTTGAATATATTGTTTATATTTCAGATGATGACAAGTTGGCTAAATACAGTCTAGAATGTATAAAGAATCTACTAGGAATTAAAGAGCATCCAAAAGAAATTAAACATATAATGGGAAGCATTTTAAGGTGTTTGAGAAGTAAGGCATGTGAAAATATATCAGTAAATCAGCGCACTTTATCAGTAAATGCATCAAAATTGTTTGTTGAAGAAGTTATGTTTAAAGAATTCGACCCAGACAAATTGCAATATTTTATAGATGCCTTGTTTTCTATTTGGGGAATGCCAGACTTTGATTTGATTGGGGTATAGAGATCAATTTATTATTATACAATTTTAAATTTTTACTAATTCAAGGACTGTGTTGATATGATAAACATGTTGGATGAAGAGAGATACAAAGAGCTGCTAAGAAGGATTCCCAATTATTTAGAGTCTAAGAATCATGACAAATTTTACATAAATTTAATGAAAATTATATATGAAATGTTATTGAAGCCTCACCCTGGGAGGTTTAATAAATTAGGTGTTCTGTTTTCTATATGTTTCAGAGATATTCTAATGCATTTATTGAATAAGAAACGCCAAATACAGGAAAGAACTATTGAAGTCCTATCAAAAATCTGCTTACTAGAAAATAATTCTATGATGGACAGTATATTTGATGTAAGAACTAAGCAATAAAGAGTAACATAGTTGTATACTTATAATATCTTCAGGCAGTAAATGAAACAGGAAAATTTGTCACCATCGAGATTGTTGGCGTATTTAGAGCTGTGATAAAAATACTAGAAAACAATAAATATACAAGCAGTCCTATTAGAAACAAGAGCATATTAAATATTCTATCTAGGATATTAGTTTCAGTTAATGTTGTTGATGGTAATATAGCAGCTGAGGTATAATATTGTTGCTGAAGTGTCTTAAAATTTAACAATATTTATTTGTAGATAATATATTTGGTATGTAAAGATGGAACTCCTTATAGTATAAAACACATATTGCCCAATCTTCATGAGCTATATTTGAAATTATCAGAGAAATCTGAAAAACATGTAAGACTAGCAATTTTGAGGGTATTCCACAAAATGGCAATGCATCAAGATACTTCTTCTGTGCAATTTTTAGAGGTATATTATAAATGCATATATTCATAAATTAACTGAACCAATATATTTTCAATTATCTGCAGCATTTATACAACCATACAGTATTTTCTTCAAATTTAAATGGTAAAAGGTATGGCCCTGAGTGTTATTCAAATTTATTACTCTCAGATGAATTTGAATATACTATATTCATGACAAAATGTAGACATCTAATAAAGTAAGTATATTTTTTATCTTGTTAACTTTATATATATAAATGCAATTCTTTTCTTCCTTAGATATGATCATGTCTATCATACTATTGCCAATTTAGACTTCAAAGAGCCTGGCCACTGTGTCCTATTAAATGTTCTTTTAGAGTTCATAAAATATAAGGAATATAATATTCTTACTCAGTATATGTTAGATAACTATGAAGAGGTAGGACATTGTATGTAATTAAAATTAGAATATTATATTGTATAATTGCAGATATGTTTTGTGGACAATGCTGGCCATCTGTTAACAGCATTCAACAAAATCCTAGTTAATAGCGGGGTATATACTGTTGAATATTTTCCAAAGTTTGATGCAATTCACAGCCTGCTGTGGGACTCTCTATTTAAACAACTATGTGGCATTATAAATATCAAACCCACGTTCGTTTTGATAGATAAACTAAAGAGCATTTTACAACTGGAGGACGATGAACCTCAAAGATCAAATCTATTAACCATTGCAAGCGAGAGAGCATATAGAGCTTTGTCTCTGAATCAGTTTCATCAGGGCTCTATCATGCACCTCACTGAAATTTGTATATCATTAAAAAGAGCCCCACCACCTCAAATATTAACAATTTTTGAAAATGTTATGGACCATCCAGACACAATGACATGTTAGTTATCTTTCTATGACGTTTATTTTTAATTTTTAGCATAATATCTAAATAATAGAATGTGTTTTTAGTGCTCAGGACTGAATGTAAAGATACCTTAATACAGCTAATAGCATTTTTTGGTACAATATCAATGATGAACAGAAGTAAAATTCCTATAGCCTGTAAACTTTTTAGAGTGGCATTGGAAGTAGAAGATCCTGTAGTACAACTAACTGCTATCAAAATGTATTACAATCTATGCACAGAGTAAGCCCCAAAAAAATAATTATAACGATATAACAGCTGTATTTATTTTTTTAAGAATAACACACGAATTTGAAGATATAATAAGGTTCTGTCTAGATCATATTTCTACTACACACCCAGTCCTAAGTAGGGTGTGTATTTTAATTTTGGAAGAATTGATTCATGATAACTACGTCCTTTTAAATTCAGAAGACTTCTTAAGATTTGTGCATCGATTGGGATCGTACAGTTTACACGATTTTATGATACACACTTTAGAAAATAGATTTAAGTTGTCAAATAAACATGACATTGGAAAATTCTATATGACCACTTTAGTATACTTAAGTGGTTACACTAAAGTAAGCAATATTGGAGTCATTAAGCAGATAAATAATAAAATTAAATTTTAGTTTGACAATTACCCAATTTCAAGCAGCTTTAAAGACGATTTGTTAGTGATGAGATCATTAGTAGACTGTCCGAACGACTTAATTAAATTCTTATTTAATTCAATCCAAATCAAAACAAGGTTTAATATTTTAAAAGAGATGAGCTCCATTTTCGGTAATTTCTACTTGAAATTAGTATCAATGCCTCTAATTTAAACAAAATTATTTAAGGTGTATTGGTCGCTGGGAAATGTAAAGTTGACTTGGCATTTTTCCAATATTTTCACTACTCTCTATACACATTCAAAGTAATGTCAGGCAAAATAGAGTTTGACTACAAATTAAACTATTATGGAAAAGTCATCAAATGTATAGAAAAGCAGATTTTGAAAAAGGACCCGAAGTTTAATGAGCTTGCATTTTATGGAGTAATATCAAAAAATAATTTAAACATAGCAGTTTAATATACAAATAAAATATTTTAGGAGTATGAGGCTGACGTAAGGTACTGTACTTTGTCTCTATTAGACCTTCTGTTTTTCGCCAAAAACGAAGAATCAATGAAAGATGTCTTTTATCCATTATTTGATGTGGTCCTTTGCTGGATTGATCATGTAAAATCGGAAGTACGTATTGATTTTTGCCCCTTTTCATCTCTTTATAAGTATTTATTTTTACAGTTAGTCCATTATGTGCATGATCAAAAAGGTAAAGAATATGACAACATGCTGAAGAAATTGGTGCACTATTACAAAACTAACAAACAGAGATTAGAAAACTTCATCAACAATCAAGAAAGGTAAACTTATATTTTTCATTATTTGCGCCACCGAAATTAATTTATTAAATAAATTTGTAACGAAATAGTAATAAAATTAATTTCATATGTATTATACATGTCTGATTATTTTATTTTATTTTTAGTTCTCCATTAGCTGTTTTAGTAGAAGCACCATCATAATCAAATTATTTATATCATCATAATCAAATTGATTGGCTTCCAGGCTTCTAGTATTTTGTAATGATTACAGAATATATCTTTTTATACATTTTAATATGTTTATTTTTTAATAAAAATACCTGTACAGGGTGTCCCATTTTGGTTGAAATCATAAGGTATCTCCGTTATTAGTGAAGATAGAAGGGTGCGGTTTGCACAAACCTGTCCCACTTTTTCGTCAAACGGAAGATGCCGTAAACAAAATTTTCATAGCCCTCTCCGTTTCCGAGCTACAGGGTCTTTTTGAAAATTTTGCAATTTGGGACACCTCCTGTATCTCTGTTATTGTTAAAGCTATCGCGAAGGTGAAAACTGTTTATTGTAGAACTTTTTACGTAGAATACAGTGGCGTAGTCTGTTTTTCTACCAAAGTAATATTTTTGAAAATATGAACTAAAGTTATGTTTTTTTAAATGGAACACCCTGTATATTTATAAATCATATGATCTGTCTTGCCATAAGCTTCTCAAAAATATATATCACTCTATATTTATGTTCACTATTTACTGCAATATTTAAAAGTTTTTATTAAAATATCATATTTATTAAAAATATCATATCTTGGAATACGTGTATACGTAAGAATAATCTATCGTATCGGAAATTTTAAATATTCCTTTAGCTAATTTACGTGAAATATACTTTCAGCAAGATGGGAAACATTCCCCCTCATAACTATGGAAATATTAGAATACTGTTAAATTATTATTTTTCAAATCAATGAATTGGAACCAATGAACGCATATTGATAGCCTCCTCGATTCCCGGATTTCGCCGTTCTCGATTTCTGATTTTGGGGATTTTTGAAATACGAAATATATGGTGGGCACTACAACAATGTCGAACACCTGAAAAATGCTTTAATAATTCAAGATTTAGATATTTGCAAACCCATCCCGTTATAAAAAAAAAGAAAAATATATTCACAGTTTCAGTGGTAACAGTTATTTCAAAAGTAAAATATATCAATCCCAAATAAATTTTAATATGTGTATGACTATTTTAATAAATACCATTTTGATATTTTGTTATTTATCACGGCCTACTAATAAGTAGCGATGTGAACTATCGAATGAATTAGACTATCGAATGGTTAATGAATGAATGATTTCAACTATCGAATGGTTTTATTCGAATAAAATCATTCATTCATTTGTATACTAAAGCATATATGACAACCTCGCCGTGCGACTAAATGGTTATCGTTGAGCCACGACTATCGAATGCTTTTGATAAATGAAATTTAGTATTCGTTTGATTTTTGTATGCGTCAGTGCATTATTAGTTCTTCCAAATTTTTATAACTTCGCCGTATAAATACTGTGCTATTTTTGCGTTTATTAAAATAGTTAAAATAAATGAAAAAAAAAATTGTGTGATTTTCCGTAGCCCGATCTTTCAATTATTTTATTTTATATGGTATATGGTATATGGTCTATTTTTTAATGGGAAATTTTGAGAAGTAGCAATTTTTAAGAGAGATGAGATGAACTTAGAATTAATTTTAAAAATACATATTTGTATGTTAGATGTTTTAATAATATGAATTAGTTGAACTTAATAATCATCTTTAAGTAATGTGGTTAAGTAAATGCGGTTATCGAACTCAAACTATGGGGTGAGAAAATTAAAATGAAAGTTTTACACGTGCCAATTTAAAAAAAAAGTTAACGATGTTTGTATTTTGTTTATGCTAATTCTCTTACATGTAGTTTTTTGCGAAGAAATATTTCATTTATTTTTTAAAGTAAATGCCAGTAAAAGTAAATATAATTTTTAAATAGTAATATAAATAATTTTGATTTCTAATTTTTTATTTATATTTTCCTTCCATTACACTGCATGCTTAGAAAATTAATAAATGTTTATATTTCATGATTTTAAAATTTGTTGTTAATATAACAAATTAGTTCTGTAATTATTATTATTTAATAAACCAACGTTGCCACACACAAAAAATTTAGAGACTATATTATTTTTAAATAGGATCTAATATAAATAATTTTGACATCTAATTTGTTGTTTATATTTTGCTACTGCTTAAAAAAAATATTTATATTAAACGATTTTAAATTTTGTTGTTAATAGGTATAACAAATTATTACTGTTATTATTATTTATTAAACCAGTCTTTGCTTAAAAACATTAAAAATAATTTTCCTACATCCAAAATAACAAGTATTATTGCAGTGTAACAACAGAATATCGATAAAAAAAATGCAGAATATATAGACATACTATCACTAACTAACTAAAGCCAAACAATAATATTCTTTGCTAATATCAACTAATACCAAAATATGGCAACAGCGCCCTTCATAATGTATTTTCTGTATAAATACTAGCACCTCAATAAAAAAAATAATGTGTCCTTATCTATATCTGACTCCGCAAAAAATCAAAGATGCCGGCTTCTTTCATAGCATTGCCACCGACCGCTGTCGGGTTCCTCGAAAAAAAACCTACGTCGCGACAACTAAAATTCAGTTAATATTTTATTATAATCGATCCTGACGAATAAATGAATTTCATAAATGAATGAATTTTATAAATGAATGTTTTTTGCTGCCGAATTACTAGAATACAATATTTCAAGGCAGATGACGGATCTATTCGATAATTTTTATTCGAATAGTTTTCAACGAATGTTTTCTTACTAACTATCGAATTATTCGAATGAATTGCAACTATCGAATGTTTCGATAGTATTCATTCGATAGTTCCCACTACTACTAATAAGAAAATGATATATTTTAAATATTGCAGTAAATAGTGAAAATAAATATAGAGTGATATATATTTTTGAGAAGCTCATAGCAAGACAGATCATATGATTTATAAATATACAGGGTGTTCCATTTGAAAAACATAACTTTAGTTCATATTTTCAAAAATATTTTTTTGGTAGAAAGTTCTACAATAAGCAGTTTTCGCCTTCTCGATACCTTTAACAATAACAGAGATACAGGGGGTGTCCCAAATTGTAAAATTTTCGAAAAGGCCCTGTAGCTCAGAAATGAAGAGGGCTATGAAAATTTTGTTTGCAGCATCTTCCGTTTGACGAAAAAGTGGGACAGGTTTGTGCAAAACGCACCCTTCTATCTTCACTAATAACGGAGATACCCTATGATTTCAACTAAAATGGGACACACTGTACATTAAGAATGAAATGACTTGATGAAGTACAGTTTTTTATTGTTAATCTAAGAGTACTGTACGTCTGTCCGTTCTGTAGCTACGGGGTATCCGTAAGAGGGGAAACGATATTCTCTCGATGTATTTCGTAAAAAAACAGACGACGCGTCCCATCAATAAAAATTCAACAAATTTGCCAGTAGCCAATAAAATGAGTGGGCGGAGCGATTTGCGGTGACGCACTCGTCAAATAGACTTATAAAATATATTGCTGTTTATTTAAATGTTTTTTGTCCGCATTCCGTTCATAGACACAGATCCAGCATACGCACTTTACATCTGCTGGACGATCTGCTATTTGACGAGTACGTCACCGCAAATCGCTCCGCCCACTCATTTTATTGGCTACTTGCAAATTTGTCCAATTTTTATTGATGGGACGCGTCCTCTTTTTACGAAAAACATCGAGAGAATATCGTTTCCCCTCTCACGGATACCCCGTAGCTACAGAACGGACAGATGCACTGTACTGTACGTTAATTTGAACCTGACTCAATCAGATCATAGTAGTGTTAAGAAGCCTAAAATTAATGCAAGATAAGTTTTGTATATGATGAAATAATCATAAACATATTCTGAGGAAAGTGTGCATTATCTTGCATTAATATTAAGTTCTTAATACTTAACAAGATATCTGTGTCCTAAGCATAGTGGAAACAAATAAAACTACAAAAGAATCATAAATAAATTTTACATTTATTAAGCACTTTTTAACAAGCAATGTAAAGGGCTGAATTTCACATTTAAGTATAAACAATTTAAAAGAGATATGAACCTATAATTGCCTCGTGATAAATTTTATTCAATATTATTATAATTATATAAAGATAAATGACAGTTACAATGGAAAAAATGTATTCTAATTAATATTTGTCACAGTCATTGTTATAATTAATTTTCTTTCTCTAAAGCTATACAAAACCTATGTAACTTTCTAACTTGTTTAATTTTTCCGTAATTAATCGAAAATATATCATTTAATCTAACAAAAAATGACCTTTTCCCATCAACATAATCTATCGCTCGAATAAAGTCAACAAAATGGCGATTTCTTTAAAAAAACGTTCAAAATGCAGACAGGCATTTTAAAACAAAACCGCAATAAAAAATATATTAGTTAAACTACACTGTTTTATTACAACAGCAGAGTATATTAGATAACATTATACAACAATTTAACATACAAGATGACTAGTACAGACCGAGTTGTTAAATTAAACAAAAAAAAATAAAGTGGAAGATAACTCTCCTGATCGAAAAAAAGCGGAATACTGATCAAAACAAGGCTGTTTTTCCATCAGGACGGACCTTGTCCCGTCTCAGTCGAATATAACCAATTAACGTAAGGGTAGAACGAGTTGCCGTCTCTATAAATATTTTATTCTATCACCTCAAATTTACAACCGTTTTCCGTAGTCAATACAAAATAAATTACTTTAAAAAATATTAGGACAAGGACTAATATAATCTAGCTAACGTTTAAATAATATAAAACTGCGCTCAGCTCACATCTATGAATCTGAAAAACACAGATGGAGTCACTCTTTAACTATTATTATTGTATAGGAGGTTACCGTACTGCTGTGTTGGCTGCCACGCGCTGTTTGAGTTTATTGAGTCCGAATTTAACGTGTCCGTAACCGTAGTGTTGGCATTCTTTAGACTATCATCTGGAATTCTACAAATTACTATTTTATTCATCTTTTCCCGCTGGTACTTAACACTAGACACTCTCATGTTTTAAGATAATCCATTAAAAAAAAATAAGCGGACTCCTTGGCCTGAACAGAAAAGCGTTTTAAAAGAAAGATTATTCAATTGGTAGTCCACTTATTTTCTTGTTTAAGATATATTTCAAAAAAGTGTAAATACACTTCTCCAATAAATTAACCTACCAAATTATTAAATTAGGTTTATTGATATTAAAAAAACGCCATATAATAGTTATTTAAAGTTCAAATTCTAAAAAATGAAAATTCTTGACAAAAACATTTTTAGAAGCCAGTGTTTCCACCTGTGGCACGAATAACATATTGGCATCATTGATTCATACTTAAAATATGCTGCCTTATTTCGTTTTGAACCAAATCTACCCAGATTCTACCAGATTGTTTGATTCGGGTGGTGGTGATCTTAACCCAAGAACGGTAAACTAAAAGGATTGCCCATCCCCATAAGACGTACGTTCGCCTCTTCCCGCGCTTCAACTGACAGTTGTGACGTCATTGTAGCCCTTGTCAAAGCCTTCGTGGCCTTATCATGATAGTGTGTATTATTAGTTGCCTATGGTAAACTTATAAAAATAACAGCTGAGAAATTTTGAGTTAATTATTTTGTCAATTTTAAATGTGAAAAAGGTGTCTTTAAAGTTTTTAGAGCTATAGAGTGTATAAATACGTTCATTTTGTGTTGTGGATTGTGACAAAGTGCATACTAAGTGCCCACGATTTTGTTTATTAATTATTTTAAAGCACAATATGGAAGTACTCTAAAAAGAATGCTTGCAAAAGGTGATGCTGGGACCTGCTGTTCTTAAAAATGCATTATCCGAGTATTTAATACGATTTATACAGTTCATTTTCTTTACTGCATACATATAAGGTGTTTAAATAAATAAACTATTAGGTTAACTGTTCTTGATCTTAACCTATTAAGGCTGATTCATGGTACACCGGGCCGTACCCGAGCCGGGCACGGACGGGGCACGGACGCCTTTCGGCGAAGCTCGGCCCGTGCCCGGCTTAGCATGAATGCATACGTATAAATAACATTTGACAATATTTGGCCGTGCCTTCACCGTCGCACGGCCCCGGCCCATCACGGTGTACCATGAATCAGCCTTTAGTCTATTTAAGATATACCACAGATTTTCAGTATGATTTAGATCTAGACTACGAGCCCTCCATGTCAGGGTGTTCAATTGGGGATTTGCTACAACTAGATAATTTCTGACAACTTGTGCATTCAAAGTGGTGCGTTAACTATTTGAAGAAGTGTATTTTTATGAAGCATTTACAAAATATTAATATTTTATTTTAGTAGTAAACATAAGGCCACATATTTGTTAATTAAAATTTTATAATTTGCGACACTCTAGACAAATATTCCTTGGTTAAATGATTTACAAGGCAAATACATTGAATATAGCTTGTTTATTACAGCTTATTCTTTTATGAATGTGACTAATGAAATAAACATATAAGAAAAATCAGAATATATGTGCTTATTACTTTAAGCAATTTTTTTAGATATTCTTTATGAATAAACATTTAACCTTTTCAAAGTTAGTTTCATAGATTTTGCCAGAAGATTCAACTGTCATAACATAGTAAATATTTATGTGAAATTGGCCTTAAACAATCTATACACGTAAGAACAAAAGTTTGAGAATAAAAACTGAAATATACATATAAGAATTTAAATATACACCATTAATATGTTACAAAATATGTTTGAAAACATATGGCCAAATATTTCATATTATAATATTAATTTATATAGTCGTTAAATAAGTTGAACAGGTAAATTTGCTTTATAGAAAATCCATAGCTGAAATAGCTTTTATATAGGTACCATATTTTTCCACAAATTCTCTATGATGAGTAACAGAGGTTTACTAAAATGAATAGAACGCCCAACGCTTATTTAACAACTTATGTTTATGTATGCGTTATTGAAATCATGAACCTTATTAAATTTTTATAGATACATACATATTGTCAACAATTCCCATATCCTTGCCATTCTTGGTGCTAGTGTCATTCGTCCCATTCTCTTGCTGAGATCCATTTAATTTATTCTCATTAACTTTGTTATCTTCATTAAGTTTATCTTCTTCTGTCACCTGTTTGTTTTCAGGCTTAGTTTTATCTTGAGAATTCTGAAGAAAATATTTGTTAAAAGGCATATACAGTGTGTTTCAAAAAACATGTGCCATCTCTCGTGGAGAGATATCACGTAAAAACTGTAGATTCTGCTTTGTTTCGTAGCTACAGGGTGATAAAGTCTTAATCTTTCGATTTATTGTAATTTTCCTCCAAGTACTTGCAGCGATTTGAATGAAATTTTGCGGATATAAGTTACTATAAGTGCTACATATTTTAATGCTAAAAAAGTGTCGATAAATTCACCAGAGACGTACATATGGAATATTTTTCAAAAAAACATGTGCGTTACTGACTTTTTTCTTTTGATATCAAAACGGTGTAGGCTGTTTAATGCCAATTAAAAGTTATCTCTTGATATTTTGTCGAATTTGGCCTCCTTGATGAGATAAACGTAATTTTACTAATCACAAAAATCAAAATAAAAAGAAAATTACATTTTACCTAATTTATTATTAAATATTATCACTATTTTGTTGTTATTACTATTAGTTCAACCTATTTCAAATAAAAAAAATAATGGTATTTAAGATAATTACAAAAAAAAATAATTTAAAAAAGTTTTAACATCCTGTAACTCTAAAAAACTATGCAATTCCATACCCATGTTCATAGGAACTTTTTTTCATATTTTTTGTTGAGGAATCAATGAGTACTTATTTAAAACTTTCTCAAGTTAATGATATTAAATTTTTTAAAGGTTCCTATTTGACTTGGATCAAAGCAAATTAATAAAATTGCGTTTATCTCGTCGAGCACGCCGAAATCGACAAAATATCATGAGACGACTTTTAATCGGTATTAAATAGCTTGCTCTATTTCGCTAACAAGAGAAAAAAAGGTCAGTGGCGTACATGCCTTTTCTAGAAAAATATTACAGTGATACCCATATGCACGTCCCTTGGAAGAAGATTATAATAAATCGAAAAAATATTAAGACTTAACACCCTGTAGCTACGAAACAAAGTACAATCGGACCTATGTTGATATAAAAAATAAATCTTATTTTTACGTAAGAAATCTCGCCACGAGAGATGGCACATGTTTTTTAAAACACCCCGTATAATATTTTTTAAACCGAAAACCAACCTGTGAGGGTAAGTTAGCATTGTTCTTCCCCCTTGTTCTGGACATGATCATCTCCACTCTTTTTCTCCGCTCTTCGCGCTCTTTCTCTTCATTCTCCAATTTCTTTTGAAGTTCAGCCTTCTGCCTCTCTGCCTCTTCCTTAGCTTTTTTGTCGGCCTCTTCCTTTAATATTTTCTGTCTAGCCTCTTCTTCTCTCCTTAACCTTTCTTCCTCTTCGCGCCTCTGAGCTTCTCTAATGGCCTAAAGCATAAAAATCATGTTATAAACTGTCTCTATTAAGAAAATAAACGTACCTCTTGTAACCTTTCTTGCTCGGATTGCCTTTGCATTTCAGCAAGGAGCCTTGCCTGCTCTTCTTCCCTTTGTTGCCGCTCAAACTCTGCCTTTTGTTCAGCTTCAATCCGTTGTCTTTCCAGTTCTGCTTGCCTTTCAGCTTCCTCTCGAATAAGACGTCTCCTTTCAGCTAAAGCAGCCTTAGCTTCCTCTTCTGTAGTTATCCTTGGCTTGGAAATGGACGTAGTCATTTCTGATGAAATTGTGTCGCTATTATCCTGCTTCACATCTTTAGTTTCATCCTTTTCTTCATGTTTTTCATTGTTAGATACGATAGCTGAATTTTCATCCGTCTTCTGGACGCCTACAATCTGTTCTGCTGCTTTCCTTTCTGAATCTATGAAATTCTGAATAATGTTATCTTGCTGAGGGGACAGTTGTTCTGTTGTAGTAACTTTCCGATCTTCCTGATGCTGGGCAGTGGATTCTATAACCTGAGACTTTGGTGCTTCTCTGTAAAGAATATTTAACAAATTAGCTGTGTGCCAAAAATTATGAAATCAAAATATTTACATGTCTTGTGTAGCAATCAATGGTGGCGGTGATGGCTCCTTAGTTTGTACTTGCGATACATCTAATTCTTTTTCTGGAGGAGAAGCCTCAACCCTCTGAGGCAAAGGCTGTACCTTTTGGGGTCCAACTTCTTGTTTTTTCTCGGTTTTATCTTCTTTTTTCTGTTCCGCAGTGATCTTAGGTGCTGATTCTTCGGCAGGAGATTTAGCAGGTTTAGTTTTTGTCTTCTCGATCTTTTCAGAAGTATTTGTTTTCGACAAAGGCTTTCTCGTTTTAGGCAAGGGAGGTTTATGTTCGCCTTTATCAATGCTATTTTTGTCGTGTGTAACTCCAGTTATCGCAATACTCGCTGGACGTGGTCGGCGTGGTGTAGTGGACAGGCGGTGTCTAACATTCACTGAACTTGTTACGCTATTTGTGCTTTGTTGGCTCATAGCACTACTCGGTCTAGAGGAGGCTACACGGAGGAATATCTCAGGTTAGAATATAATCAGTCTATAGCTTTTATAAAACTTGAAGCAAAGTCTGATTCCGCTCCAAAGTTTTACATACTTCAAATTTTATATTTCAAAATTAGATGTTAAATACATTAAAACGTCTAAAAAAGTACCCTAGCACTTTACAAATAATTTTACATCAATCTTTTAATATATAGCTTATATCCTAACTAACCATAAAAATTCTGGCATAAATTGAAACTAATTATATGCAAAGATAAGCTTGTCTACAAATAAAAAGCTATACTGTGTCGCATTAGTGTGTAAAAAAATGTGCAAAGTGCAGTGTATTTTAAAAGGTAAGTGCCCCTGTAAATGGACCACCACCAAAAAAAAAATAAAAATATACATTTCGACGTGTACCCGATTGTAAAAGCTACACAAATTGTCAAATGGTACAAATTGTTAGTAAGATTACAGGTATTAATAAAATAAGTAGATCCCAAATACTAGTAGATTCAAGGTAGGTAAAATGATGCTTCCACCTGATTTTCATGTGTGATACTGTTTAAAAAAAACTCGATAAACTATGGTACTGCATAGGATGAATTCGAATTGTATCCCAAAACCTCTAATATGATTGAAATAGATTAATAAGAGGCGACACTAATAACCCTCGCCGTGTTTAATGGACAACAGAAGCGTAGTAGCCATACCCTCGCTGGCACTACTGGACTGTTGGGCCAAAAGCAACTTCTGCTGCCTTAGCTGAGTGGCTCGATTGACCCTTGGCGGAGCTATGGGCGGGTGAGCCGCATCAGGGCTCAGATGGTGCATGCTGCGGCTGTCCGTCTTGCTCAAAGGCTTCCTCGGACTCAGTTTGGTACCTACGTGCGCCAAATGGCTCATGCTGCGCGTCACCGAGCTCTTGGGCGCCATGTTTGACTCGTTTAGGGCCGGCAGTACCGGCTTCCTTGGCTTTGCCAGTTGATCTAAGCGAGACATCGAATACGCCCTACCTATTGGGGGATTTTCAGTTGTTTTCTATTGTTAAACTTAATACCAAAAATATTTCGATGATATAGAATAAAAAAGTATAGAGATTTGGGACATTTTGGTTTGTTTGTGAACGTGACTGATCATCTCTATAGTTTTATTGTCTAAGATCGTCGATATATTTAGGTGGGTTTTTGTTGTCGGTCGAATAATGGTTAAATGTAAAAAAATGAAAAGCCTTAGCAAGGTGACTGTACCTGGCGAATGGTTGAGGGACTTGCGTGATGTGGACGAATGAAAAGAGGAATCTCTCGAAGGGATTGTCGGTACTAAGTCTGTTCTGCGCCGTCCAATATATCCGCTGGCGCAGCCTGCGGGCGTCGTGGGACTTATCAAACCTAAAAAATTCACCCCTCGTGCTATGTGATCACCTTCACGCCTTGCAATTCTAGTCTTAAGCTCCTAATTCATGAATTTATAGGACTAATATACGCAACGATAAAAATCATAAATAATTTTTCAAAAAAATCAAACTGAAATTTAAGGTCTCAATAAAAATCTAGTATATTAGTCCACCATGTTAAAGTAAATAGTAAAAAGGGTTTGTGTGCTAGGAAAAGTGATATATCACAAGGCCCTTGAAAAATAAACCTTATTACCGTGTGGGAAAGTAATGATTGCCCTTTGAACACAATTATGCGATATGTAGTGCTAAAGAAGTAGGTTATATTTACATTTAAGAAAGGAATACCTAAGGTCACAATTTTTACGTAGTGTAACCCCTCCCTTCAGAAAAAAAACGCATTTTATACGCAACTATGAGCTCAAAATGCGGACAAACCATAAACCTAATTTTCTAACTGGATATATACGTTAATTTTGAGAGAAAGTTTTTTAGATGGATTTTAATAATTGCATTATTCTTGCAGCGAGATTTTATTTAATATTTTATTCGATCTAAAGTCGCTCGGTATAGTTTATGACATCCTCGACTGCAATTAAGCTCATACCGAATTGGAACTTTCACTATTCAATTTTCTATTTGATTTTTTAAAGATCATTAATAATATCTGTAATTGCATATAAACAAATACTCTTTTCCTTTATTTGTGGAGCTTTTAAAAATAAATTTAAACAGAAAACAGAATATGTAAACTATTTGTGCTGTTTCACAAATAAATTAAATAAAATATCCATGCACTAACCAATAAAACATACATCGCCAAATAAAAAATAATTTCCTTTCTAATAAAAAAATATCCCACAATCATGCAGTCTACTAAAGTTTATTTTTCCCCAACTAGTTAAACGAAAAACAACAGTTTTCTTCGTTCAGATATAAATTCGAAAAAAAAAACATTGAAACAACGACAATATAAGTTACTAAGGTTCTTGCATATAAAAAATACTAGGAATTAGGAATTAATAAATTACGGGTATTAACTAATTTTACAACCATGTTTACTATTTTTCAAAGCGCTTTGAAACATTACATGGCAAAAATTTCCATTTATGCACAAGGGCTCAAAAAATATCTTTTTTTTTGTCGCAAAACCAACGCACTTAAAAGTTTATATAGGTACTTTAAAGGTACACTAAATTTTCTTCATATACTAAAATATTAAAAATGTTATAACCGTGTTTACTATTTTTCAAAGACAAAAATTGACATTTATCCATATTTTTCAAGAAATCAACTCATGTAAGCCCTTAAAAGTTTATATATTCTAAAGTATATTACATTTCTTACATATACTTAATTTTTCAAAATGTTATAAGCAGTTTTCCTATTTTCCTATGAGCCTTGGAAAGTTGCTAAAACTTATGAGCCTTGGAAAGTTGCTAAAACTTATTAAGTAGTCCAGATCTTTTACATAAGGTAAAATCCCCCAAAAAATGTATACAAAGGTATTTACGTGTTTAAGAGATTCAGGAAAAAATCCTCTGCAAAACACATCCAGAAAAAGCACATTACTATCACTTATTCCACGAAAAAAGAACTGGAAGCCATTTTAACACATTTGTTATCCTGACACCATAGAGCAAAAAAAAATGTGGAAGCACCTCAGGCCGTGTATAGACTATTTTCAAACTGTTCAGCACGGTTTACATTCAAATTCTATTAAAAATTTAAATTTTTAAGATTTTGTTGCAGAACATCTTTTTGTGACGCATACTGAAAACGTGGAATACCTTTGAAAAAGTGAAAGGTATGCTGGTACTTTCAATGCAAGAACCTAATATAATGTCAACCAAAAAAAAATTAAAAATAATGTACCTTCAGCGGCGCGTTCAAGCCCTCCTGCCGAAGTAGCTCTTTTCTTACTGCTAGCGTCCAGGTCTCTTTCTGACTGTCTTCTGGTCAAAGAGCTACCGGACGATGATATAGTAATGTTCTGAGTCGAAGTGGCCCTCCTATGGCCCCAAAATGAGACCGTCACGTCCGTAGGATCCAGCATACGAGGCGTAGAAGAGCCAAACGCAAAAACTATGCTACTTCGTTCGTTCCGCTTCTTAGCTTCTATTCTGGCATCCCTTTCCTGATTCCTGCGTAAAATCGATTCCAGTCTGTCCCTTTCAGCTTCGTTTATGGCTTTTTTCCTTTCTTCGACCAGATGCCTGCGTTGGTCATCTTTCACCCTCATGTCCTCTAGGCGTCTTCTTCTTTCGAATTCCTTTTGCTCTTTGAACCTTTGTGCTGCCAGTGCTTGTGCCCGTAACTCCTCCAGTTTCTTCTGCCTTTCTTCATTTTGACGCTCTTTCAATCCGCGCAATCTTGCTTCCTTATCAACTGCAATAATATCGGAAGCACATCAAGACAACCAAAGTCAAAAAAGAATACAATATGATACCTCAAATCAAAATGTCACAGCTCAAAATTAACTGGATATACAGGGTGTCAATAAATAGTGTATGTACCTCTGGTGGATGTTTCTACAGATAAGTTCAAGATTTTTAAAAAAATCAAAACATAGTTTTTTATTATTTCGTTTTTATATTATTTCGGATTATCGGATGTTTTACCGATACTCTTAAAAATAAAAAAAAGTAAAATAAAGATTTCAGTTAACGTCGCCTTTCTGCTGCCAGGGCTAATCTGGACGGGGCCTACTTTGTTTACGCGGAATCCGAACCGCGGTCCTCGACCATATCATGGTCAATGGCCTACCGACTTGGCAAGTATCTAAATCGACTCTTACTCACGAGATATCCGATCTCATTCGGCCTCGAAACGGCGTGAATGAGCAGTGTGTGTCAAAAGATTTTACACTTTTGCCTTTTTTTGGACAGCAGCACGATACAGAGTTTCGAACCGCACACCCGTCCATCCACTAGTATCGTCTTACGTCGCTTAACTTCGGTGTTCTAATGGGAACCAGTGTTTCGACGTAGCTGGGCCGTTGCCCTTAAAAATAAACAAAATATATTATTTTATTTACCCTTTTGAGGGCTGTAACTTCCGCGGCAAGCATTTAAGGGCATATGTTCATAGAAACTTTTTGTCTTATTTTTATCTGTCGAATCAACCACCGAAGATACACCATTTTTTGACACCCTGTATAAACAGAATTTTTTTGTTATGTTCAGTAAAAATTAACTATTTTAAGAAATGTTTCTTTCTGACTGAAGGTGTCATATATAAAACAAGTTTACTAGTTAGAAACAAATGTTAGTTGGTAGTTGGGTGAGTCGAACTCAAGTTTAAAGGAAAAAGTAACGAGTTTATTGAACTACTGTGGCTATAATGTCGACTACTATTTTTAAAGACGTGCGAGTTCTTTTAACTACTGATTTTTGACCCCTTTTATTCCAATATCTCCAAATATAATTATTATTAAATACAGGGTACAATACACACATCATTACTTTCGCTAGATTATTAAAAGAATCTTTTATGGTACTATAAATCACTACAAGCAAAGTTAATAAGCATTACTAATTGAAATAGCACTTTTTCCCAAATGACGCATAACAAGCTAAGTAGAAAATCCATATTTAGAACATAGAATGTAAGTACGTATTTCCTCTATATACGCAAAGCAATATATTTCAGCATCTATTGAAAATAACGTAAAGGATACGTATCAGTATATATCTATGCAACTTAATTCGCATTCCAAACATAATTCCCAAAGGCTATAGAAACCAATTGCGTTCAAACTATTCATTTAATTCAATTTCGACTTTTAATAAAACAGAGAGCATTTTAAGCAACGAATTTTTATTGAATTGATTATTACAAACACTTAATTTTTGTTTTTTCCTTCACATTATGGACGTAAGTAGTTATTGAAAAACAATAATTTTAATAAACTAATGTCAAGGTAACTTGCACAACCTTGATAAAATATGTAAAATATTCGTTCAAAGAAATGTTATAGTATTTTCCACACACACCCTACTAAAGAATACACCAAACATTATTGATTTTTAGTTATACGTTAGTCATTTTGATCAAAAAAGATTAATTAATAACTTTTTAAAAAGAAATGCACTATGTATCGAAAAAAGATAATAGATTATAAATTAATTAGATTTTATATCTACAGACACACATTGATGGATAGGTTCAAAAATGATAGTAGATTACACAGTGCAAGTGCAAAGTACTATAAATTTTTGATAAAAGACAGTTTTATATTCATTGATTCGCACTACTATCGACATTTTAAAAAGTTAATAATTAAACATTTGTTTGTAGGTGTTACATTATTATGTTTACCAACAAACAAAGACCACACGAAATGTGAGTTTATGATGTTATTGTATTTGTTTATTACCAATTTTATAACTGCATGAACTAATATTGTATATTATATCTTTCCTGTTACATTGTGTGTAAGAGTTTACTTTCCTTAAAGACATAAATGAAAAAAAAAATTATACGTCTTGCCGTGTAAATTTTTCTATTAAAATTTGGGGATTTTAAAAATATCTCATGTACCCTTGAATTACTTTTGCGTATTGACAGATGATGTCCCCTTGAACTCTGTAAAAAACATTTATTGTTCCAATTTCGTTTATTTTTTGACCATTTGCCAATTCCCGCTTTGTTCCTGTATAGTAAAATTTTCTGGCGGTATTCGAAAGGTGAATGAATGTGGCAAAAAGATTTTTATCACTTCCACCAAGCAAAACAATTACCTATAACAAGATAGAAATGCATTTCTATGCGGTACTGATTTGAACAAGCCGCAAAACAATGTTTCTTTTGCAACAGAAATAATAATGTGTTGAGTCATAGAGGCTAATTTGAATAGTTTTTATTGTCTGTCATTCGAACTCTTTGTAGAACAGAGCGACAAAAAAATATACGATGCAATCTAGGAATGCAGATTATCAATTTTCAAGATGCTAAAGAAATTCCATCACAGCAGACTTAAAATAAAATAATTTTTTAAAGTTCATTAAAATCAAATGATGGCATATAAGTGTGTCAGTAGTGTTTATTATTTTGTTTTTGTTCACGAAAAAATTGTATGAAAGTACTGTGCTCCAATTGTCACAAGAACACGCTTCTTTATCATTTATTTCCGCTATATACGTTTACACACTGTAATTAAAAATAATAAATTATATTCTCAGGTGTCAGGGGCGTGAATATATTTAGCACCAACCATATTTTCACGAGATATTAAAATATTAATGAAAAGCAGAGATTGTACGCACCCTGTATATATTGGTCGACCGAAAGAATCTGAATCTCAGACCTTCAGAAGGTCACTTCTAGTCTCAGGTAGCTTTGTCATGTAGATATCACGCAAACCCATCCGATGAAAATTTTAAATTGTAATTTTTCAATGTCTAAATATAGTTATGACAAGAAAAGTATGAATATATTACGAAGTGTATTACGACACCGATGCTATAAGATGGATATAATGAATTATCCAAGTAAATAGACACCAAGGAAGTTTGAAAGGTTCGTTTTTTAAGACACTCTGTACAAAACTAATTATAATAATCGTGCACGATTCTTGCCCAACACATAAACAAATAAATCTTAAGGTCGCCCATAGGCTATCAATATTTTATTCAGACTTTGAAAAAACACCCACTATATAGCCACATTCAAAGCCTTTACTCTAACAAGGAGTTAATCATTTTATAACCAGTTGTATATCCCACTTTGTGGGTCGTATCTTCACTACATTTCTATATCTACTATTAACTATTATAGGTATAAGTTTGTTTATGGTTTTTAACGATTTTCTGAAAGTTCAGATCACAATGTTATAGGTCAATGTAAATAAAAGAAAGATATATAACAATGGAATTTCACCAAAATCTCATAATCACAACAAAAAACTTATTTATTTCTCTTATTCCAGGTACGGTAGTTTTAAATTAGAAAAACTAGCACTGCACGAATTCGAAGAAGAAATAAATTATTAACATGGTTGAATAATTAGATAATATATTCAATCAAAGAGTAAATTCAACATTCCGACAAGGTATTTGAATTGCAAACATCCTATTTGAGACCGAACATATTCAAAAGGAAATAAATACCATAGATAATGATAAGAAAGACAAACGAAGTGTTGAAACGACTGAAAAACTAATTGTAGATCATTTTTTGTGCATGTGATTTAAATTTACATACCTACATGTTTGACGGTGGTTTTGTTATTGCCGTAATTTTTATCGAATCGTTTCACTTTCAAGACGTCGCTTTTTGACACATTTTCGGAAGACAGCGTCTTGACTAGGATGCTCCTGATGCAATTGATGTGCTCACTGAAGTTATCGTTGTGCATATAACCCGGTGACATTTTTCTGGCACTGTAATCTGCCTCACAAACCGATTTCTAGGTTTTGCACCATCGGATATCACGTCGAAGTACACTGACATTCCTACTTGGAATTACACAACTCAACTGAAACATTTGTTTATCGCTGGTCGCGCTTCATAGATAAAACCCGATGAAAACATTCAACAAACAAACAAAACCTGCGCGAGCTGATTATTGTTTTTAAATGACCGTGATGACCATTAGCGTTTTTCGATATTTTACACCTTGATTCCTTTACCTGACGTAGGTAGACCGATTGATGACTTAAGACTGTTTGCACAATAGCACAGTACCACTTCCCCCAGTGTCATTATTAAACTGTTTAAAATTTCACTAAAACCGTAGTTCTTTTAATTATTAAAGAATTGTTTTAAATAGCTTTCGTTTGTGATTAAGAGACACCTAGAATTTATGGTCTTGAACAATTTCTCTCTGTAATTTTTCCTTTATCGTTAATGATTTTTACAAAAAAAATTTTTTTAATGCTTGTTATCATCGAAAAAAAACGGCATCACGGTAGTCTTTGAAATAGGAATAAATGAAAAATTCTATCGAGATAACCCTTAAATTTTTGTTTTATTTTAAGCTGTTAAATATTCTGTAATAATTTAGCTTTAAAAAAATTTGACACTTTCTTTATCATTTTTAATAAGTAGAAAATTGGTGTTTGCAATAATAAAATTGTATAAGATGGTTTAAGGTATCTCTGAAGAACCAAACCAAATCACAATTCAAATATTAATTTTCTCTATTGTTAAGCCACAGTTTCGAAATATCTCTGTTCATCAATCAATAAAAAACACAAAAAAGACGTTATGTATTTTTAGATAAAAAATACTAGAGATACTAATTTATCGATGACTCTTTAAAAAAAAACAAATACATTTTTTTAAATATACATTCATACATTTAAACGTTAATTTAATTACTGCATTCGGTTAAGTGCAATTAAATTGATCGATTTGATGTCATTAATAGGGCAGAATGGAATTAATAATCGAATTATTGGGTCAATTAAACTATGAAATCGATAGCTGGCTAGTACATGACGTGTGATTGCATTACTGCTCTAATTTTCAAAACTCTATTTCAGAGTACATTTTGTCAAGTTAATTTTGGTTTATACATAATTTTTATTTAATTTCCAAGATATAGGTACAGACAAATTCAGTGACAGAAGATATACAAAAATTCTCAACTTAATCTCGAGATTTGCTTGTACGTAAAGATTTCTATATTTAAAAATTACTAGGCTGCTCGGTATACAAATATTATTCATGGCTTTTCTTAGATATTACTTTTTCCTGATTATTTCCAATATTAACTGATTTGCATAAAAAATTCGAACTTTCAAAATTATGTTTAAACTCTTTCAAAAAGTTCTACGCTTGGATTTTTCATTGTAAAATGAAATGTCCTGTGGACTAAAACTTTAGGCGTGGTATATAAAACATCGATAAACAGAAAACACGCAAAATGAGTATTATTCACTGTCAAAAATAGAGAAAAAGAAGAGGAATATTCAAAAAACACTGTATTAAAAATAGATTCATTATCGAATCAACATCAACACCCGCAGTAATAATCTATCGAGGTAGATAATAGGGGGTATAATGTGTTAAAATATAAATATATCAAACCAAACATTAGGTGATATATTTATAGGAAAGATAAGGTTTACTATATTTATGTTTTAAACTATGTTACTATATTTATGTTTTAAAAATGTACATATAGCAATTTTATAAAATATAATAAAATGAGATAAGCTCTAAATTTATACATAAAAAAAATATGTTCTTCCTACTTAAAAAAATAAATAAAAAAAAAGATTCCTATTATACAAATAATACTCTATAGCTCTTTTCTTTATTAAGTGCTTTTTTAAGACAATTAGAACAAAACAGTCTCTGATGTAGTAACTAAAAACCTTGATGAATCATGACCTTCGTGTGCATTTTAAGGTAAGTTCAGGAAATATGCGAATACGCTATTAATAGTAAAATAACAATTTTACTAATGTTTTTTTTTCAACTCTCTGCGCATAGTAAATTTTTCAAAGGATTTGCTGATTGATTAAACCGAATTTTTGTTTGAGAACGGCTTGAAAGCTGTGTCTAATCCGTTGAAAATCGTCGGTATAAAGTGGGTGTGTTGTTTCATTGAGTAATTTTCCAAATATTTTCTATCTACAATGTATAATTGTTAAATATAACGCTAAAATCGTGTGCGCAAAATCATAAAAACTCTACTTTTAATTAGAATGCCTCGCCCATGCACTGGTCTCTTGCTAATGTAGTCTAATAAAATAAAAATATATTTTTAATTAAAAAAAAAACATTAATAATAACACAAAATCCTTAAATTTTATGCTTTTTAATTATATTTTATAGTATACATATATAAAATGGTTCTCAATATACTACTTAAGAAAAACTATAAGTCTAATCTACTAAAATTAAAAGAATATCGCTATATACAGTGCGGAATTAGTAAAGAAAAACACACAACAAATTCGTTGTTAGTGGTTAAAAAAAAATATCTATTTAAGTATATATCTCACCATCGTGCTCATAACTATTGCTAGAAAAATTCAGGGGATGGGGATCTGAAATTAAACACAAGTATAGAAATTACACTAAAGCATTCGATAGTTTTCTTAAGAAACGAACCATCTATCGAAAACAATAAATATTTAACCATGACGACAACAAGAACTAGCTTGCCTTATCCATCAAACATCTCCAGAACTAAAATACCTCACTTGGTGCATGTGTAATTTTAAATATACACTGCAGAGAATCTGAATATAGAATATAAAACCAAAATAACAAAAAGACGGAATACTGTAAATTTCAGAGCGCGTTTTCGGACTTAAAATACATTTACAAGACATAAATGTAGTGTTACAACTGCTGGATCTTAGCTGCACACTATTTTATTTCCGTATATTTATTATATAACTTGAGGTATTTGAAGGTTAACAATCAAAATTCAAATTAAGTATCTCATTTTCATAAATTTCAACATTCTACATACACGATTAATTTAATATACATATGTGGGTAATTGTATGAAGTAAAAGGCTTAATAGGTGGTCTCAGATCTTAATCTAAACGTCTTAAAATTATCAGGTTTTAAAAGGCTTCATTTCAGACCACCCTATAGGTACGTTCGAAACTTAATCCATATAGTGTACACTTTATAATATGTAAATGTAATACGTTATTACAGGGAAAAGATATATAGAAAATAAATTGGCATGAATGAATAGACGATTCAACATCTATTTATTCTACTGCTAATAAATATTTGGTCAATGGTCGTCGATTAACGGAAGATGCTTCAAAAAAGTGTCTAACCGTGCCAAAATAAAGGATTATTGCCTGAAAATATTAATTTTAAGTATTGATTTACTTCGTAAAAACTGATAAAAACATATCAATGATTATTTTCAAATATTCTAGCACTGTCACTGATTTTATTATTTCTAGAAATGATTTAAATGCATTATTTCTGTATTGATCTTTTATTCAAAGCATATTTATTTAAAGAGACAGGTTGAAGGACTAGTCAACTTTAGATTTTATTCAAGATTTAGTTCTTTTCTTCAATCATAATTCCATTAACTTTAAGTGAAAGATCAGCTGTTATTCAGAACTATTAGAATGTATGTCTTGTAAGGCACACTTTCTGAATTCTTTTAAAACTAAACCCAACCTAACAATATACATATATAATTTGTATATCCCGGTAAAAAAAAGGTTGTTCTATCTATACATAATGAAATTTATGCAAATATTGTGGAAACCGGTTTGTGTTACACTTGCCAAAAATACCATTTTAATATAAGGATCCAACATCAATTTTGATAAGATAAAAGCGAATATTGTTTTGCTCTCATAAAAACATTCTAATTTATGAGAAAGGAACGTATTTATAATTTATTAAACATAGTATATGACTAGAATTTTCCTAAAATATACACGTATCAAGGAAGGTAAATAAATAGGTACCTATATCTAAAAACTTTGGAAGATCGTTACCCTTGAAGGCCTTGAGCTGGACAGGCTGCTTAAAAAGGAATATATCAAAGCCTAGTGTTTATTTGTATAATATATTTTTTATTATGACACTCCGGAAAGATAATATAATATGCTTAAATTTAAAGAGGTTTGTATTAGAAAATAATGGGTGTCAAAAGTTGTTGCCTAGTTGTCATTTTGAGATGAAAGCAAAGCTGTAGATTGAAAGAGGCCCCAATTCGTACAGCTCTTTCTGTTGAAGCACTAGTTCAATTAATTAAGCTTATTTCTTGATAAAAATTGCTAGAAGGGCCTACAGATGGTCTCTATTTCTTACTTATATAATGGATTCTGTCCCTTCAGTACAGAGCCCCAATTATGACTTGCATACTCTTAAAGCAAGGAAACGATCCCAAAGTCTTTTATAAACTATTCTAACCTGTATTTCTTGGTTTTTCTAGAATTTCTTGTCCATTTTCTGCCATTTTGGCACCACTAACACTACACACTATAAAATCAACGACATATCACATCTACCAGACCGACCATTTCAACGCAATTGACAGATGAAGTTTCAAAGTTGTCATATTTGCCACAGAGGGAGCCATCTCTCAATGCAACATTAAATCCATAGATCATTAAAGGGTAGATACAGAGAGATAATATAGATAATCAATTAATAGAATATAGAGAATAAATAATAATCAATCTAATTTTTTATATATTAAGTAACAAGAAATGGAGCTAATATGTTTTAAAATTTATTAACGCCAATTTTATAAGGTACAATGTATTGGAGCGATTTAAAAATATACATTGCGTCATGGTTTTTTTATTAATTTAATGCAAGCCATTCATATACCTACCTACATTTATGTATATGTTTTAGAAAGTTACAATTTAAAAGCTCAAAGTTTTAAGAAGCACATAGTTTTAATCAAATAATTTAAGTTTGCCCTGTTTATTTTTAAATAAATTACCAAGGAAATATGCCCTTTAAGTTACTTTATGTTTTATTTGAGAAATTTTAGGTTTGCGCAAACAAAAATTAATAAGTATATTTCAATCTCGATTACTTAGTTTATTTCTAGAGAATTTAATTAAATAAACTAAATTAAATTTAAATAAAACATATATTTAAATTATTTTAAAAAATAACATCTAGCGCCATCTGTTGATGAGTAGCTAAATCATAATATTAAGTATTTTGAAAATTAGGATTTCGGTTTCGAAAACTTATCGGTATAACAGAATACTGTAGATCGCATTTTTGAAAAGAGATTGGCGCTTAAATTTAAGAATTTTGCGTGTTCCTACGAGAAAAACGGCGCTCTCCTATTATTCTTTGTTTTAGATATAGTGAGTAAGGTATTTAATATATTTATTTATTAACTAACTCCAGAGTGGTGTTTTATGGATAATTCATTTCACTGGCGCGCAATTTAGTTTGCCTGTTATTGGAAAATTGAATTTCAGACGCTACATTTGATATCGGTGCCACGTTGTGCCACCCTCAAAATAAATTTCCTACATTGAATTGCTTTTAACGAAATGTGCTCCAGTTTTGTCGCGATGGAGCCTTTCTACATTTTTTAACTATGCAAAATTAGATTATTTTAGTTTTGATCAACTTAAAAGCAGCGCATATTACTGGCTATGGATGCTTGTTTTCAAGCATTTGATAAAGATGGGTAAGCAGTCGCTAATTCACTAATATAATGGTATTTATATTTTATGCTTCAAGAATTTGTAGGAGAGGATTTTTTAATGTAATCTCCTACTGAGTTTATATAGATTGTAATAAATAAAGAATGATAATAAAAGAATATTTCAGTGATGGATATTTAAACGTGGAAGAATTTCGGTATTTAACTCGGGCACTATTTAGAAACGATAGGGGTAAAATTTATCACTTAGAAGAACGAAAATTGGTTGAAACTTTTAACGTTTTCGATACAAATGGCGATGGAAAAATTGATAAAGACGAATTCACTTTTTGTTGGAATCATTGGATAAAGATTGTAAGAGATGAATTTATTCTAACAAAAATAGCTGCTCAACTTTGCAAAAAGAAAAATAATATTTTTTTATTTTAGATCGTGCGTCCGATATCTGCATTTCTTATAGTTGATGTTCAGAACGATTTTATATCTGGTACATTGAACATCAGCAACTGTTCAGCTCAACAAAATGGTATAGTAATATTATGTACTCTGTGTTCATATTAGTACAAAATAATATTTCACAATACAAGCACGGTATACATGCGATTGAGATATATCTATATTACTTTGTAAATTTAGAATATTTCTTTTTTTTTAATAAAATTATATATTTTGAAGCTATAGGATAGGAGACTCTGATATTTCTTTAGGTCTGGATGTGATAGAGCCAATTAACAAATTGCTGGACACTGTAAAGTTCGATGCTGTATTTTACTCCCTAGACTGGCACCCTAGTGATCACGTATCCTTTATAGAAAATATTGCAGAGCGGGAAATTGACCCCAGCAGTCCAGTGACAGCAGAAAATGCCCAAACTTATGACACGGTCGTTTTTTGTGGTTCACCGCCACAAAAACAACGATTGTGGCCAAGGCATTGCGTCCAAGACACTTGGGGATCTGAGCTACATAAAGATTTAAAAGTACGACATTTTTTTATTACAATATATACGAATAAAAAATCAATTAAACTCTGTAGGTAAAATAATCACTTTTTTTGTTCCTTCAATTTTTTTGCAAACTTGGCTCTGGAGCTGAAGCTAATTAATTATGGTTTATATTTTTAATTCATTATTTTGTATTTTGATAAAAAACGTTCAAAGCGACCGACAAAAGGTCTTCCAGCGTGCTTTTGTCGAGTGTCGAAAAAAGAGTTTTTGTTAAATAAATTATTTTTTTCTTTTATATTTCTTTTTCCCATAAATGTTTCGTAAAATAACGAATTTTAGTAGTTGCTAGAGTCAGAAATAGACTGACAGTACAAAAATAAATAAAATAATAAACAGGTGCTTATTTTAGGTTCTTCAAAATGCAATTAAAGTGTATAAAGGTACAAATCCGGATGTGGATTCGTACTCGGTGTTTTGGGACAATAAAAAAATGACAGATACAACCTTGTGTGCTCAGCTGAGATTACGGAATGCTACAGACATCTACATATGCGGATTAGCATATGATGTATGCGTCGGTATGCAAAAAACTGCTTCAATGCAGTTCTTTTATTTTATTCAGTCGAAGTATTTTATTAAGTATTATCGCAAGACAAAATACTTACAGATGAATATTATATATTATTATGATTTTTAAATAATTACTGTCTGATTTTACACAAGCTTCCCCTAGAATTAATGCGCTAATTATAAATTTAAGGTGCTACAGCGGTGGACGCTTTGGCAATTGGGTACAGGACAATATTGTTAGACGATTGTAGTCGTGGTGTGGACTTGACGGATATAGAAAAAACCAAAAACACTGTCATAACCAACAGCGGTGTTATAGTGAATTCGTCACAAGTAAAAGCTATGGTGGAAGGCCGGGATAGGCGGCCAGAACTGGGTTATAAATTGGCTATGGAACTGAAAGCAAGTATATGTGAAAAAAACGAGGAAAACTAAAAATGAAGATACTACTAATATTGTTATTATCAATAAAATTTTAAAAATTTTACATATTTCTATAGAACATAGAGCAATTTATCAAAATATCCTTTATATTATCGTGTTATATAAATAAATATGTTGTTAATGTTAATCAATAAAATAATAAGAAGTTATTTAGTTTTTTTAAACATTGGCAATACCTAAGACCTTCGAAAATAGGAATACTATATTTAAAATATCGATAAGTTAATGTTACGATATTCATAACTTAAAGACTAAGAATACAATATGTCAAAATGTATATCCTCTCCTGGATAAAACAAAATAAGAACATTAAGCCCTTTACATCGTCTGTTTATCTTAGGGGCATCCGAGCAGAGAAAATCAAAAACTGATAAATTTTCAGAGGAAGGCATAAAGCAAAACACGAGATGACGGCATAGCTACGGCCCGTGACGTCATTGCAATCGTATTCCTGTCAAATTCGAATTAGGTCGACTCTAACCAAGAGCGAGAAGGGAAGAAAAACTAAATGAATGAAAGGAAATTAAACAAAAGTCGGAAGTTCGGTAGCGAGGAGTGGTAAATTGCCTATCTGCCTGGTAAATGTAAAGGAAATCAAAAGAAATTGTATAAAAGTTGAACAAATAAGGCGCGAATTTTCAGCGTTCGGAAAACGGAGAGGCGCTCCGACGGAACGATCAATATAGTTTGCAAGTCCCGCCTCTAGAGATGCAGAACTAGCTCTAAACATCGATAACGCTTAAAATACACCTAGGTTTTAAAAAAAACACCTATTAACTTTAAAACACCCTATGTATTCCGATTTTTCTATAGAATTTGAAAAAAATAGGGAGACAAATAATTAAAGTAAATTATTCACGACAAACCACTTGTATTCTCAGTGTAAAGTTTTTAATACTTGATATTCTAGAGAAAAAAAAATAAAACAATTAGATTTTGTGTAAGAAGAATTTTTAAAAAATCAGTATCTTCCTAATTAATGTCACTAGCTCCTTAACAAAAGTTTGACCTGTGTATTTTTTCATAAAAACTATAGTAAATGCCCATTACATGTCCTCAGATGTGGAGGAACCATGGCATCGGGAGTACCAATGTACCACAACACTTGACGTATTTAATTTTTTAACAACTTTTTTCAGTAAAATGGAGGAAAAATAGCAATTACTTCAACAATACCTTGTTAAAATTTTAGGCTCTCCGAAAAGACGCCTATGTCTTCAGATGTGAAGGAATCGCGTCATCAAGGGTACCATTGTATCCAATATTCCTCCTATTTTTGTTAACAACTCTTTAAATACAACAAATATAGAAATAAACAACAAATTCAAAAACAACTTCTGGTTCCCTCCAATGGTCTAAGACACTCGAAAAAGTTCCTCAGAACTTACTACCGAGAAAAATCAAAGATGTGGGGAAAATGGGGAAACACCAGAACATCTTATCACTGAGTGCGCCGAGACGACGACCGTTCGTGCCATGAACTTTGTACGGCTGATGTCGTCAGCTGGCTTCTGTAGAGCCGTCTCAGATACTGGCTTTTGTTAAAGCCCTGAGACTGTATGATGAGTTATAGCTCGTTATAACTCAAGAAAGGGGAATACAATAGATCTGTAAGGTCGCGGTGATTAACTCCTCTCTTAAACATTCTACATTCTACAAACTCTTGGTTAAAATACTTGGATGTCCAGTCAGAGTCCATGTCTTCAGATATGAAGGAAACGTGCCATCACGAGTATCATTATGACAACATCTCAAAACCCGACTTATTTAATTTTTTTAATAACATTTCACAAAAAAAAGAAGAAGAAAACAATAAATTCAACAACTCGTAGTCAAAAAGCAAGGCACTTTTCCAAAAAATTCGAACGCGAAAACGTACATTAAGTATCGAATCGCTATTTTTGATCTGTCGACTTATCCCGACCGTCCCTATCCTCGATCCTCCAAAAGCAGAGGGAAATGAGTAGAGGTAGACAGTGTCCTGCTGTACAGCACTGAATGTTCTGCACTTCAGCGAAGAGCTCCCGCATTCTACTTTTACGTCCGATGATGTTTGTGACTAATTAAAATTTAAATATTTTTCTCAATTAAATTTTTTTCTCAAGCTCAACATGGTCAGCCACAATTTCTTCAGTATTTTTCTGCCAGTATTTTACTTTATTACGTAAGTAAATATTTTTTTTACTCCCCAGATATTTTACTACTGCCCTTTACTACAAACATATTTTTTTCGTCGTTTCTGTTTTTAGATCGTGTAGGAAATGTTTTATTTTTTCTTCTTTATTTTGAAGGCTTTATATTTTATTGTGTTTTGTTAAATCAATGTTGTTACACTAAATAATGTTGTCGTCTTTTTCTAACTGCACTTGAATGCAGGTCATTTAACTCTTCGTAAAATAGTCTTTTTCGGGACTGTAATTTTTGTAAGTTTAATTGGAAAATTATTTTGAAATTAATTTCTTGAACTAATTTTAGTTTAATACATAGAATGCTTTCTATTTTTTTTTGTATTCGAATTTATCTTATTTTAACTTCATAAATAACAATGAATTAGAATAATTGAAAAAAAAAATGAAATTGTATATAATAATCTAGTACTGAAATATGCATAATTTCAGTTGCGTATCTTCGACAAATAAGATCAATTTTCGGGAAAAAGAGAAAGAGGTTCTGGACAAAATTTTGGGACCTGGACGGTACGATGCCAGAATAAGGCCGTCTGGAGTAAATGGAACAGGTGAGTAATTTTTTTCTTATACACGCACCTATTTAGCGTACGACGAAGTGAACAAGCAAGAAAAACGTATCCAGATACCAAGACTAATAGTTCACGCAGTGCTGCTTGTATATATGTACCATGTAAATGTACCTACAGTTACATACAGGGTGTTTCGATTACGCCTAGATAAAAATCCAGTTTGAGTATTGATCTACAAGTCTAGAAATGGTTAGTTGCTGATGTTTTACTGCAAAAAAATCAATTTTATCAAAATCAAAATCGAGTTAATTATATACATCTAAACACCCTGTATATAGCACAAATCGGGTGGAAAGAATCAGACTACGAGCTTATCACAGTTTCTGATGCTTTTCTACACGAACTACTTGAAATTATTCTGAGTGTTCGACAAGAGAAAGAAAGAAAGCCAAGAGTCGAGATTTCAGAATAAATGTAAACGTAAAACCCCTCGTATCTATAGATGGGCCAGCGATAGTACGAGTTAACCTGTTTGTTCGAAGCATTACGACCATAAGCGACATTAAAATGGTAAGTGGAGGTCACCCCCTTCTTGTAGGTAGCATAGAGGTGCTCCACGGGCCAATGGGGGCTCTTGCCAGTGGCCCCTTTGATAAGCACGATCGCCTGAAACCTTCCACACATTCTAGACACCCAAAAAATAGCATTTGGACTAAAATGACCTCTCAAAAGCATCTTGCTCGTGTACAGTAAGTACTATTATCTCGAGAACCTTTACTTTCAAAACAAAAAAAGTACACAGACCACGAGTTTTTAATATGGTCTAAGCAGAAAATTTGATGTCAGCCTCATGTCAAGTGGTTCCGAATTGATTCTCAAATTCATAAACTGTTTTTTTCAGAGAAAAAATCCATGGAGGAGATGACATTTTTATTATCATCTTCAAATTAGATTCTTGCTTGAGTAAGAGCACTAAAATTTCCATATTTTCTCTCTAACTAAACTGAATTTGAAAATAACATTGTTTTTTGTTTGTTTGTACTGAATTTTTTGAATATAAGTTGGTAACATAATAATATATATTCCTGCAAAAATTAAATTAAAAATTATTTTTTTGCAAAGAACCTACCATGGACTTTTTTTATTATATTATACATAAAACGTTTTCTTTTCTAAAGACAAAAGCGAGGGATAACATTCGGATTTTGCTGTAAATTTCGATTTCGTTATTCCGCTGCAGGTTCTCGACATACAAATCATGTAAGGGATTTTATTTCGAAGATTTAAATACAATACCCAGGCAAAAGAACAGTTTTCAAAGGCACCTACCAAAATTTATATCACAAAATGTATTATTTTTTTTTAAATCCCTTGGACTATATACGCATAGAAAAATGTTATAGATAAATAGTTGACTTTTGTGGTAGTTTTTTTTTCAAGGCCCCTAGAAAAATAGTAAACAAAATCATGTCGAATTTGTAGGAAATTCTATGTGGATTTAAAATATATAGACCTTCAAGGTTTGAATTGTTTTTGTTTTGTAAGAAAATCGATTTTTTGGACCCTTGTTTTCGAGCAACTTTTGATAAAGGATATAATTCCGCTTACATTGGCCTATATTTTTGTGCCCTACACCTTTTAGTTGGTAAATGACAGCAGTTTAATTAAAATCGATAACCTGATCAAAATAGACATTTTTTCTAAGTCTATGTATTGAAAAAAATTGAAACATAGGCGATATCCTACTATTTTTCAGGACGTCTAGAAAAATAATAAAAATAGCCACACGGTTATGATTTTACTCTTTGATTTAAAAAAAAGGAAAGTATAAAATAAATAAATACACACACCGGAGAAGTCTAGGGATATTACAATTTTATTCAGCCATCGTCAGTAATTTTATTATTTGCATTTTTGATATAATAAAATTAAAATAAACAAATAGTTTACAGGACGTATTGGAAATCAAAATGCGAAATTTACCGAACTTGTCAAATTTACCTTGATTTTTATTGAACTCAAAAAAATACACACATTTTTTTTTATTCTAAACTGTGAATTAAAAAAAAAGATAAAACCATTTTTACTGAATAAAGGGTATGGCCTCCTCTACTGTTCATTACAGCCCTACATCATCTCTCCATGCTCCTGATCAGGTTGTCGATCTCTTCTTGAGGTACAGCCTGCCACGCACACGGCCTGAACCCAGATTCCTACGAGTTTCACGAGGCATACCCGTTCTCAAAATTCTTTCTTTGGACCGCGTCCCATACGTGCTCGATGTAAAAGGTTTAATTGATGAGCATTGATAAACTCACTTACCACTCTGGCTGTATGAGGCCGTGCATTGTCATGTATGAGAATGAAGTTTCTCCCAAAATCATTGGCATATGGTAACACGACAGGCTCAAGAATTAAATCACGATATTTGGTTCTTGTTAGAAACCTTTCAAGAAAAACGAGATCGGTTTTTCGGCCTAACTGGACTCCTCCCCAGACCATAACTGTTCCACCTTGATAAGGGTGCACTTCCTGAACATGATCCAACCGAATAAAATTTCCCAGTTCTCTCCTTACCCTAAACCTTCTCGAATCCGGATGAATTCCAAAGCGTGACTCATCCGTGAAGAGAACATTGGCCCATTGTTCATTCGACCACTGAACATGATCTTGAGCCCACAAATATCGTACCTCTCGATTTCCTCTCGTTAAGGGTTGAGCTCTCCAGGGTCGTCTGCTTCTTAAGTTGACCTCTCTTAATCTATTGCGAACAGTGTCAGGACTAACGGTTACATTATGTGTTTCCTGGAGATCTAAACTAAGATCTGGTGCTGTAAGAGTCGGTCGGCGTCGAGCATTTAATTGTAAAAAATTATCTTGCTGAGGGGTAGTAATGCGATGTCGCCCTGTGTGCCTTTCAGCAACATCACCACTTTCACGGTAGCGTGCACTTAATCGCGATATTACACTTTGCGTTGTATTTAATGCTCTAGCTACGTCGATTTGGCGCATTCCAGCTTCGATCATACCCATGGCCCTTAGCATTTCGTCTCTGTTAAGATGTCTACGCTCCATAATGTCGTTTAATACTAAACAGAGTTATTTGAATGAATTCTGGCCAGTTATCATAAAAACATAGCCAGTACAGGTTAAATTCGAACAATTGATGCTAGGTGCTTTTTATACATTTGACAAAAAATGCATAAACACTTCTGCAAATGTCCCAAATTTAGAAATAACTAGTGTGACTACTACGTTTCAATCGAAGTAGAAACAATTGGCCTACAAAATATGTGGTTGTTTATTCAAAACATTCATTTTTAACTTTAATAAAATGATATCCCTAGATTTTTCCGGTGTGTGTATATAGTCCAAATGCTTACAGTACCATTTAAGTAGACATACACCAAAATTTTATGTTAGTGATAGAAAATAATAAATTTTTTAAAATACTAGGATATAGTCTAGCTTATAGCATCACAATAGAGTACTACTTTCCATAGAATTCATATAAATAAATTATAACCATATTATTTTTCTTGCTGTTTATTTAATCAAATCACTTCCTTTTCAAATAAAGTATTGGTTTACGTCGTCTTCATTTGAATAACTTGACGCGGGATAATTAATTTAACGTGTAATTACGTGTAATACACAATTATAAACAGCTTCTATATGCCCATATAATAATATTGTTTAATACGATTGAGTGGTAGGAGAAAAATGTACAATCCGTAAAAGCTCTTGTTAAATGTGATGAAGGACTGCTACATACAGAATAATCATCTCTTATTCTACCATCCCATGTCCCTTTTACATTAAAAGGAATAATTAATAGCTTTAGCCTGAGCATAAACTTTATAATAAACCGATTATCTTTTACTGGGTCTTTTGTAAAAACAAACAGTAATTTAATAATATGAGCTTTCTTCACTCTTGATTAAGCCCAACATAATTTTTTACACGAAAAATGAATAAAAAATATTAAAAATAAAATAAAATAGAAGAAAGTGACATAAAAAAATAAACAGTAAGGCTGGATCTGTATATCTGCATTAAAAAGTCTAGGAAATAGTTGATTTTCTTTGCAATCTTCAGTAGAAAATTTAGTGTTTTATTATTTACCACCAAGGAAAAATTAAATCCATTATAAAGGGATTGACGTAGGTTTCAGCGATAAACTGTACAAAGCCTTTTCTTATTTTTCAATTTTTATACCTATCATAACTGCATAGTCAATTTAATTATTTCGACATATTTTTTGCAAAAGAGAATTTTAATAAAGCGGGAAGTTTTGGAATTTAATATTTTCAACACCTTGTTCAATCCACTTATTTTTCTTTATAAAATAACATCAAAGAATTTCGTATTTTTTGTTTGAAAAAACATGTATAATATAGGGGATTAAAATATCCTTTTTAAATTTGTAATTTGCTTGTATAGGGCTTATTGAAAGGTTGCATTAAAATAGACAACGTATAAATATGCGGAGAAGCTCTTTTATTGGATAAATATTTGAGGGATACTTTGTTGATCGTGTTGTGCGGTATATTTGTGGACGATGTGCCCTTTTTCCAAAGAAGTTAGTGTGCTTTTGGGTATGTCAACAGATGTCTCATTTGATTGATAGAAAAAAAAAAATATAAATATATGGAAAACATGTCCTTTTCCTTCCTAACAAATGATCGTTCTACATTTGTAGGCATAGGAAACATTTTTTTTCAATGGAAAATATGCTAATTTGTACGATAACACGACTCGTGGTGACACTAAAGCATTTCTCATGCCAAGGTATTTATTTATAGACGGGAATATATTTTTGTTACATCCAAAACTTGACGGTGTGTATTTGACACAATATGAAATTTTGTAACAGGCGATCGTGCAAAACACTGGGGTGGAAATGCAAGAGCGGTTTAACCCCTTTCTAGCTTGCAGGGTAGCAGTTTGCTATAGTCGCGTTTTGAATGCTGAGAATGCTGTTTTGGGGGTTGACGTTAGGCATATTTTTTATCACAAAAAAACCTTTTTGCTAAAAT